AGGGGGAGGAAACAGACAATAAGCAAATGAACAAATACGTAGGTTATCAGATGACAGTAAGTGCTAAGGCAAAAAATAATGCAGGGTAGGGGTGTTTGGGTGGGGCTCTGCCTTCGGCTCAGGTCATGATCCTGGAGTCCTGGGATCGAGTCCCACATCGGGCTCCCTCCTCAGCGGGAAGTCTGCTTCTCTCCCCCCGCCCCATGCACTCTCTCACTAATAAATAAAATCTTTAAAAAAATAATGCAGGGTAAAGAGAGAAGTATGGTGGGTGGGGATAGGTCTATTTGTTTGACTTAAACTCATTTGGAAAGTGTAGAGCATGGTGTCATGGGACTTAGAATCTAGGGGTAGAAGGTAAGATTAGGCATGATGAGAAAACAAGATGACAAAGGGTAAGCAAGGGTACTGGCCACTGGAAGGAACAGATGCAACTGACAGCTTGAAGAGGTCAAGATTTGGTGATTGTCCAAATGCGGGAAGGGTGGAAATAGATAGAGCCAAGGATGATTTTCACACCAAAAGAGTAGGAGACCAGGAAAATGATGAAATAAGCACATTTGGAAAGGGAGATGGACGTGAGAATTCAAGTTCATAAATGAGGCAGCTAGCAGCTTAAGGCAAAAACTCTAAGTCCAGGAATTCTGTACAGAAGATTTGTTAACTTTTTTTAAAAAAAGATTTTATTTATTTATTTAGATAGAGAGATATGGAGAGAGAGAGAGCATGAGCAGGGGAGCGGGGGAAGGGCAGAGGGTGAGGGAGAAGCAGACTCCTTGCTGAGCAGGGAGCCCGATTCAGGGCTCAATCATGACCTGAGCCGAAGGTAGACACTTAATGGACTGAGCCACCTAGGCGCCCCCATTTATTAACTTCTCAAAAATTTCTTTAAATATTTTTAAATTGTAGTAAAATATACGTAACACGTACATTTTTCTTCCCAGGTGTGTGTATAAGATACTGATTTGACAAGTCTATGTTATGCTAAAACTTCCCATTTTAGGTGTATAGTTCAGTGGCATTAAGTACATTCACACTGTTGTGCAACCATCACCACCATCCATCCATAGAACTCTTCCGTCATCCCAGACTGAACTCTGTACTCATTAACCATTAACACCCAATTCCTTCCCCCACCCCAAGCCCCTGGCAACCACCATTCTACTTTTTCTCCATGAATTTGACTACTTTAAGTATCTCATATAAATGGAATCATACTGAAGGGCAGGAAAAATAATTTTCTCTCTACCCTTCTGAGTTTTTGGCTGAGACCCCTGTATTAAAAGACATATTAACAAGAGAAAAACAGAGCTTATTAACATGTATACCTCATATAACCAGGGGAGATACTTGGGAAGAATGAATAAATCCCAGAGGAAGCCCAAGCCACCACTTTATTTTTTTTTAAAGATTTTATTTATTTATTTGAGAGAGAGAGAATGAGAGAGAGCACATGAGAGGGAAGAGGGTCAGAGGGAGAAGCAGACTCCCTGCTGAGCAGGGAGCCCGATGTGGGACTCGATCCCGGGACTCCATGATCATGACCTGAGCCGAAGGCAGTCGCTTAACCAACTGAGCCACCCAGGCGCCCCCCAAGCCACCACTTTAAATACCATCTTCAGTATAAACAAAGGAAGATGTTGGGGTGGGGGCGTTGGGGGAAGCCAGTTATGGGAGGTTACCAGGAAAAGCACAGTAAACAAGGGTAAGGTTTGTTTTGTACATTTAAATCAGTGTGTCTTCTCCATTTATAAGATTTCTTGTGATTTGGTCATCTTTCTTTGGCTGGTATAAAGAGGGAGACACCATTACAGATGCAGATTTCTTTTCTAAATGTAAATTTCCCTTACAAAAAGGTAACTTCTATTGTGTTTTCAGAGCTTCTCCTGTGTCTTCTGTTTGTGGAAATAATCATTTCAAAACAACCCTGATGCCCAAGAGGCATACTTTGTGGTAGCTTATTCTACTACCCATATTCTTGCCTTTGAAAGGTCTTCAGTTTTCATATCCTGAAGCTCAGCTGGTAGCTTTTTCCATATCTCATTGAACCAGTCCTTAATCTTTTTTTTTTTTTTAAGATTTTATTTATTTATTTGACAGAGAGAGACACAGCGAGAGAGGGAACACAAGCAGTGGGAGTGGGAGAGGGCGAAGCAGGCTTCCCGCTGAGCGGGGAGCACGATGTGGGGCTCGATCCCAGCACCCTGGGATCATGACCTGAGCCGAAGGCAGATGCTTAAGGACTGAGCCACCCAGGCGCCCCAGTCCTTAATCCTGAGACTAGGTCAATTAAGTTAAAGAGCTGTACCTCATTTCAGAAGGTGATGTTTCAGGTGAGCTTCCAAAGTTAGGCCTAAATGGTGCAATCAGTAGGGATTTAATAAGAGGCATTTCTAGAGGCACCTGGGTGGCTCAATCAGTTAAGCGTAAGACTCTTGGTTTTTGGCTCAGGTGGTGATCTCAGGGTCCTGAGATGGAGTCCCAAGTAGGGGCTGCACTCAGAGTCTGCTTGAGGTCATCTCTCCCTCTCCCTCTGCCCCTTCTGCTTGTGCTCGCACTCTCTCTCTCAAATAAATAAATAAATCTTAAAAAAATATTAAGAGACATCTATGGAAACAAAGGAAAAACAAAAGTTAATGGAATAGACTATAAACTGAGTTTTGGGGTCCAGAGGGCAGTTAGTCAAGAAGATTTCTAGATGTTGGGCTTGAAGCATCTTCAGAGTGAGGAGAGGCAGTGGTAATCATAGATTCTCCTGGGTTGCAGTTTGAATGTCTCTGGTGATGTCATCAGGTGTCTGGTGTTCCAGTGAACTTTGTGGTTTGGCCCACATAACAAGGCATGAAGGCTGTCCATACATGAGCTGTTGTGATTTCTGTGGAGTTTACATCAAGTCACCCAACTTCAGCTTTCAGGGTTTTGGGAAAACGACAGTTTTTGTTCTTATTGATCCCAAGTCAGAAGGGTGGGAGAAAATTGAAAATCTCCATATCTATTGGAGAAAACTAGAAGATTTGAAGATCCAGTCCAGTTTGCAGGTAGATAACAAAACCTCAATGAACAGTACTAAAATTTGATATCCCCAAAAGTATGCCACTGAAAATTATTTTTCCTCCTCTCCCTGCCCCCTTACAGTATTTGTCCTTTTTGTGACTGGCTTATCACTTAGCATAATGTCTTCAAGTTTCAACCATATTGGAGCATGTTAGAATTTCATTCCTTTTAAAGGATGAACAATATTTCATTGTATGTATACACAACTTTTACCTATTGATGGACATGTGGATTGTTGCTACCTTTTGCTGTTCTGAGTGTAACTGCTGTGAACACTGGTGTGCAAATATCTGTTCAAGTCTCTGCTTTCAATTCTTCTGCATATATATTGTTAATAGATAAACTGAAGCAAATCGAAATTTTTAAGAATTGGAGCAACCATCAGTTTGGATCTGGGAGATCCTAACCACTGCCAGGAACTAGAGGAAAGACTTCTATACGGAAGATGCCAAGCAAAGCAAGGAAATTATTTGATTGGTTACTGCTTCACCAGGTACCTTATTTGGGAAAGCCTAGGTGGCTGTTTGCCATTGTATATTCTTAGGTCTCCATGTTTTAACCTTGAGGCATCTACAGGCTTAGGTTTGGGTTTGCTTATGTAGGCTGCCCAGGCATTAGGGACACCTCAGTCTAATGGCCTCCTTTGTTTAATGAATTTAAAAATAGCCAGAAGTGGAATTCACTCAACTCTTAAGATTGTGTTTAAATTATATATCCTATAATAAGGAATATGCTCCTCTAATGAAGACAATCTACTAAAACTGCAGTTTCCCCAGGCCAATAGGAACGTCTCAAACAGTGAAGCTTGAGTTGTATGTTTTTTTTTAAATGTTTATTTATTCGAGAGAGAGAGAGAGAGAGAGAGAGAGGCAGAGGGAGAAGCAGGCTCCCCGCCTAGCAGGGAGCCCGATGCGGGACTCGATCCCAGGACCCTGGGATCATGACCTGAGCCAAAGGCAGACGCTTAACCATCTGAGCCACCCAGGCGCCCCTGCCTGTTTTTTTTTTTTTTTACCATGAGACCAGACCGCTCAAAACACGAAAGACAAGAACTGTGTAATCTATTTTTGTGACATTCCAAAGCTGTTAATACTGTCCTTTGCATATTGTGGTATTAATATTTGAAAGTACAGTTCTAACATATAATGTACGGTATACTAGCGGATTATTAATTCATTAACAAACACCAGCTTTTGAGTCTCTTATAATGGACTAAAAAGACATTTTTCCCAAAGAAAGCAGCTTCGCATCTTCTCTTCCCCTCCTTAAACTCCTCCACCACATACAATAAAGAAATAACTGATTATAAAGTGTCAAGTTGGATGTCTGGCAGGGGCAGGACATGATACAGTAACTTTTCTAAGAGATCACACAGTTGCACCCCCAGCATGCAGAAATTACCAGTTGGAGGGCTGGGGGCTGAAAGAACGTTCTTCTGAGCTCAGGTGTTGCTGGACCGACTTTATCCAGCCCAGAGCGTCCTCAAGGCCCCTGTGGATTGTTCCTAGGATCTGAGAGACGGCGGATTAGGTCACAAGCCGGCAGCCGGCTCGCGCTCAGCCTGGCCGCTGGCCTTGCTGCCTTCCACTGCCCGGGACCGTTTTCTGTTCTTTGTGCGAACCGGAGAGCCAGGAACGCAACAGCCGCCGGAGCCGGACGCCCTGCTCGCGGCCCGCAGATGCACCTGGCGCGGCGCCGCCTCGGTCCAACAGTCTCGGCCCCCGGCGAGCCAGGCCGGGTCGCAGCCGCGCGCCAGCGGGGGTCGTGGCGGGGACACTGGTCTCCTCCAAGGTTCGGAGGGACTCCTCCAAAATGGCTTCGGGGCATGCGCCACAGCGGCCGTTAGGAGACGCAAAACCGACGCCTCGCAGCCTGGAGCCTGGAGGCACAGGGCTGTCCGGCTGCAGATTAGGGCGGACGGCGGGAGCGCCCGCGGCGCAGGTGTGGGCGCCGCAGGTGTGGCCGCGGGCGGGTAACGTCACGCAGCGAGGTAGTGCGTGCGGGGGCGTCAGGGGCGGGGCCTGAAGTCAAATACAGTGGTGGTCGCGGGCCAGCACCCTAGTGTTCGCTGCGCTTTGCCTTCCCCGCTGGTGTGCTCTTTCGGGGGTAAGACGTGCTGGGACCGGGTACTCATGCGCTATGAGAACTGTGACATTACGTCGCTTTGGGGGGGCGGTGAGATACGATTTAGTAACTCCTCTAAGTTGGTGATTGACATGTTGTGTACATTTTAGGCTGAGAACCAAAATTTAAATTCAAGTCCATCAGTGAACTGGATATCGGAAGTGTTTTTAGCTTCTCAGTTACTTCGGGCATTTTTTTTTTCTCCTTGAAATTTCATTTTGATCATGGATGAGGAAGTGATTGAAAATCAATTTGGGGGTGCCTGCTGTCTCATGGGGTAGAGCATGCGATTCTTGATCTCATGGTCATGAATTAAAGTCCGACGTTGGTGGTGGAGCCTGATTTAAAAAATGATGAAGCAGATAATAAATTTGAGAGAGGGCTTTGATGAAATAGTCGTAATTCATAGGATTGTTCAGATTGTATCAAACCTAGCAGGAAAAGGGAAGAAGGGGTGTTAACTGCATTTAGCTAGGTTTGTCCTGGTGAAAAGTGACTTGGGCTTTCTGAGCCTGTTTTATCTGAATCCATGCTTATTAAGCAAATTCTGTTGATTAGATGATAACAGGTAAAGAGAAGGGAGGAAGCTTGCTCTGTCCCTTGTTGATCTAGGCAACTATTGCATCCAGTCTCCTTTATAAAAAACCATATTTACAGTTGGGTCATTGCTGATTCATAGAGCTTGAAGGGATACATTGGCTTCTTTGTTTCAAGAAAACTTGAACTTGGAAACAAAATGGAAGAAAACAAACAGGTAATGCTGCTTTTCTTTTAAACCTGCTTGTATGACTCTCAAGAAGTATCCCTGAGATGGATTGTGAGGTAGTTAAAAGTAAAATTTCATCAAATTTGGCTCCTAGCATTTCTTGGTGTTGGATGGGATCGAACAAGGATATACATAGATAAAATTCCATATTTGTATATGAAGTGAAAAAAGTATCAGTTATTTTAAGTAGCAAAATCTACTTTAAAAATACTCAAGTGGTATTTTAGTAGTGTTAATGTGCTTTTGGATCTGCGACGATTTTGTTCACTAAAGATGCTGAATTGAGGAGGTGTGGGGTGAGGCCTGAGATTCTGCATTTCAAGGAAATCCAGGTAAGGAGGACCAATGGGAACCACATTTGGAGTGTGTGCTGTCCAATAGGTAGCCACATGCTACACGTGGTTACTGAACACTTAAAAATGCCTTATTAAGACTTAAATAAAAGGAAGTCTTTAGTCAGGACTACCACCACAAGAGCATTGCAGTAGGGGAGAGATGGTGAAAACCCCCATTTTCAACTGCTGGGGATTTATAGCCATGAGCAGAAGGGCTGAGCGGATGGAAGAGACCACAAGAGTTTTGGGTTTTAAGCAGAATTTAATAGATTCTTTTTTTTTTTTTTTAAGATTTTATTTATTTGACAGAGAGAGACACAGCGAGAGACGGAACACAAGCAGGGGGAGTGGGAGAGGGAGAGGGAGAAGCAGGCTTCCTGCCGAGCAGGGAGCCCGATGCGGGGCTCGATCCCAGGACCCTGAGATCATGACCTGAGCTGAAGGCAGACGCTTAACGACTGAGCCACCCAGGCACCCAATAGGATTCTTAATAAGGCAGCTCAGGGGGATCAGATTATTAAGGGGTGATGGCAAGGAATTTGATCAGATTATGAGATTAAGGGTGGGGAATTCTCTAAATTGACTTAGTAGGATTCTTGCTCAACTGGCCTAAGCAGGCCCAAGACAGGATGGTGTCCAGGTCAAGGCCTAATCAGAAGACGGCTTAGAGGAGCCTGACTTTAGTTTCCTCAAGGAGTCTCAATCTCCTGCCTACCTGTATTCCAGTCTTTGGCAGTTCATTAAAGGTCCCTTGTGGCTAGGAGACTTAGACTTGTTAAATGCATTAGTAGTTTTCCCTTCAGCTGACTCTAAGCCCTCAGAAGCATAAAGCCAGATTATCACTTAATAAAAGATAAAAGACCCGTGGAGGCTTGGATGAACCGTGGAGGAAATGCAGTACCACTGGGTGATTTTTTTTTTTTTTTTTGGACAGAGGTGGTTGAAAGGCCAATGGATTTTACCAAGTAATTGGGAAATGAAGCTGGTTTTTTTTCTTAATTCCTGAAGTTGCACATGATTTGTTTCAGTGCAACAGTATGGATAATTGTGAAGTTCCCAGCAAGAAAGTGATTGAGTTCAAACCACCAGTGTATGAACAGAGATACTACTTTGTTAAAAACTTAGTGAATCGACATGGACTCAGGAAGGTAAGTATCTTTCCAAACACTGAAGACTGTCTTATCAACTGTTTAGTCAAAAAATACAAGAGGGCGCCTGGGTGGCTCAGTTGGTTAAGCGACTGCCTTCGGCTCAGGTCATGATCCTGGAGTCCCTGGATTGAGTCCCGCATCGGGCTCCCTGCTGAGCAGGGAGTCTGCTTCTCCCTCTGACCCTGCCCCCATCTCATGTGCTTTCTCTCTCATTCTCTCTGTCTCTCAAATAAATAAATAAAAAATCTTTAAAAAAAAAATACAAGAAAAACTTAAGGATTTGGCAAGTGAGCAGAGACTATTTGAAGATGTGTTGCAAGGAAGGGAAGGGATTAGCGCAACAGGGAGAACACTGACCATAAGATCTGCATGCACCAATAGTTGGGGAAAAGGGGAAAAAGGTTTTTCTCTAGAGTAAACAACTGATCTGTGGGGGAGTGGGATGACAGTGGTGTGATTGGAGAGTATAATGTGTTAATCTAAGGCTATCCTGTTTTCCGGGAGGGGGCCTTAAATACAGGCTGCTTCTGTCTTCAGACTGAGGGCAGGGTAAAGTTCAGGGGTCTGTGGGAAGGAGAAGTTTTTTTTTTTTGAGATTTTATTTATTTGAGAGAGAGCACATGAGAGGGGGGAGGGTCAGAGGGAGAAGCAGACTCCCTGCTGAGCAGGGAGCTCGATGCGGGACTCGATCCCGGGACTCCAGGATCATGACCTGAGCCGAAGGCAGTCGCCCAACCAACTGAGCCACCCAGGCGCCCGGAAGGAGAAGTTTGAGCTAAATTTTGGTTAACAAGAAATTGGGTATACTATGTAAAAAACAGTTTAAAACTTCCTAAGGCTGTAGTTGGCTTTTGGACTAGGTTTTTTAAAGTTTTTATTTTAGAGTGAGAGCACAAGCCGGAGGGGAGAGGCAAAGGGAGAAGCAGACTCCTGGCTGAGCAGGGAGCCCGATGTGGGACTCGATCCCAGGACCCTGGGATCATGACCTGAGCTGAAGGCAGATGCTTAACCAACCGAGCCACCCAGGCGCCCCAGACTAGGTTTTTTTTTTTGAGGCTATGTAACCCTTCTCCCACTGTCCCATAAATATGCCAGCTTCAGAAAGGAAAATTACTGCTTGTGGCTAAGGGTGTAATATTGTGGTAGATTGCAAGGTTTACCTAAAATATTGAAGGTAAAAAAATGAAGCACATCTGAGGAAAAATTGGATTGAATATAGGTTGAATGTGCCTATTGCTAGGGTATAGTTATATTCCCTTTTTCCAGAGGGGAATTTTTTTTGGAAGCAACTTAGTAAATGCTATAATTGGTTTTCTGATGGAGTGAATTTTGAGGTAAACTTTAGTCTGTTTCAGATTTAACACTTTGTGCATCTTAGGATAATATGGTATCTTTCATGTTTGAGTATCCAAAAATAGTTAAAATCTGCAGGTACCCCCTTAATTAAGGCTGGATTAGAGCCAGTTAGCTACCCTGGAAGCTGATTTAGGATATCTTTGGGATTGGGGGCCGTTAAACTTAAATCTTAATTTTCTTTTCCTCCTAAAGTGGGAATCAAATTTAGGTGATAGCGGTTAATGAAGACTTTAGTGCACAGTTAAGAAATCCATTTAAGAATACATACAAATGTACATTAGGGGATTAGATTAACAACACTGAATATAAATCCCTAAAACATTGGTCAAGATCAGGCGCCCTTGTGTTAAGTTAGAAGCTGCTCAGAGGTTCAAAGTTTTGTTTTATAGGGTACCTGCCTACCATGTGGGATTTTCGGGGCGCCAGACCCTGAGGGTGCTCTGGGTGCCAGGTACACACCTGAATTCCTTTCTTACAGTCCAAACACTAACAGCTTATTTCCCGCCCACTCCTCCCTTAAGTTTCAGACTAATTTCCTTTTTGTGTACTTTTTTTCTACCAAAAAGATCTTGACATAATTATATGGTAATTCTGATAACCACTTACACTCTAAAAGTTTTTGGTCCTATTTGATTTCTGGCAGTAATGTCTTCAATGTTCTGTTTCACCCGTAGATTGCAGACTTGGGCTTCGGTGATGCCACACTTTTATGGATGCTGAAATATCACCGCTGTGTTCAGTATCTTGTTGGAGTAGATGTTGCTGCCAGACCCTTTGAATGGGGAGGGTAAGACCAAGTTTCTGAAAGTATTGTGCATTAATCTAAAACGAGTAGCACTATGAGGAAGTGTCGTTTTATACAGCTTATTTTAAAAGATTGGCACTGAGAGCCTCAATCAAGCTCACTGAATGACTGTGCCATAACATTGTGAATGATACAGTAGTTTTTCCTACCAACGTAGAAAGTATAGCCTGTTAAATTATAGTAGACAAAGCATTGCAGATTCAATTTTCAATGGCAAAACGCTGGACACCAGGAGAACTCATTAGAGGATCGAAATTGCCCCAGACCTCTTTAATTTAAGCCCGAGCAGCTCTCCAGTCTCATATATATTGACTTGCAGATTTTTTTCAGGACTGTTTTCCTTCTTTTTTTTTTTTTTTTTTTAAAGATTTTATTTATTTATTTGACAGAGAGCTAGAGAGCACAAGTAGGCAGAGTGGCAGGCAGAGGGAGAGGGAGAAGCAGGCTCTCTGCTGAGCAGGGAGCCGGACATGGGGCTCGATCCCAGGACCCTGGGATCATGACCTGAGCCGAAGGCAGCCGCTTAACCGACTGAGCCACCCAGGCGCCCCAGGACTGTTTTTCTTCTAAAGAAAGTTAATCAGTGATCCAAAGGGAGCTGGAAGACCAAAAGTATTAAATGGCGAGAGCATCGGCAGTATTCAATCTTGTTCTCATTGGCCAATAATCTATGAGGAAGTTAACCCTATGACCTCGTGCTTACTACCTCAAGTCATGGAAAACTCATTTAGGTAGACACTGATCAGAGGATCAGATCATCAGAATTCTATAGCTGGTGAGATTCTGAATAGATTATAGTGTTAATTTCCCTTCTGTTTTTGCAGGGGTAGGTTGTCTCCAGGAGTGGGGGGTTACATCGTTCCTCGGGAACTAGATTTGACCATAACCTTGTACCGTGGTTCTGCTGTACAAAAAGACTCCCGTTTGTGTGGATTTGACTTGATAACATGTATTGAATTGTAAGTATTAAAACTGATTCTTACTGTATAAATTTATTAGAAAAATCTGATTTAGTTCTCAGTAAATTGAGTGTCCTAACTAGATTTAAGTTGTAATCAAATTTATTTGTAAAGCAAGTTGACGGGATTGACTTTAATTTCAGATTTACAGATGGAGGAGCTGCAAAATAGCACCAGGAATATCCTGTATCCAGACTCACCTCTTAAAGTTTTCCTCATTTTTTAAGGATTTTGAGTGCAAGAGACCTCAAGAGCACCAGGAAGAGCATGAGCCGGGTGGAGGGGCAGAGGCAGAGGGAGAAGCAGGCTCCCCGCTGAGCAGGGAGCCCGACAGGACACAGGGCTGGATCCCAGGGACCTGAGCTAAAGGTAGTCGCTTAACCATGGAGCCCACCCAGGCGCCCCTACTTTTTAAACACAGTATTTTTGAGCAGGGACGCCTGGATGGCTCAGTTAAGCGTCTGCCTTCGACTCAGGTCATGATCCCAGGGTCCTGGGATGGAGCCCCATATTGGGCTCCTTGCTCAGCAGGGAGCCTGCTTCTCCCTCTGCCTCTGCTGCTCCCCCTGCTTGTGCTCATGCGTCCTTTCTCTGACAAATCTTTATATTTGAGCACAGGTACATTTCTGTGGAATTTAACACATGTAGTTTAATGTAACTTACAGTCAAGGCACAGAACCGTTCCATTAACCCCCAAACAAACTCGGGCCGACCCCTTTGTGGCCACACCTTTCTCTCACCCCCAGCCAGCATCATCCATTTTGCAGCATTGTTTTTGAGAACACTATAAAATTATCTAATTTCTTGGCAGTTTGTTCCTTATTCCTGAGTATTCCTTTGTATGGTGTGCCACCTTTTCAAGCATTTAAGGCTATTTGGGTTTCCAGTGTGGAGTTATTATGAATAGAACTGATACCATTCATGGAACAGGTTTTGCATGAACACAAGTTTCATTTAACCCTGGGAGTGGGATTATTGGGTCATATGATTTTTCTGATTCAGATTTTTGCTCTTTTTTCCTCCATTGTCTTAACGCTTATGCATTGATTTTTTTTTCTTCTAATGTGTGAATTTAAAGCAATAAATTTCACTCGGGGTAAGTGCATTATAGCTCTAACTATACATGTTTTGATGTGTAGTATTTGCACTGATACTGCAAAGAAGCCAAATTGAAGCTCCTGAGTCATTTACCTATGTGTGTTCCTCTTACTGGTCTGAACGGTTATGTTTCCCTCCCATCACCATCCTGCTGAGCTGTAGTGGTTATGGGGAGATATATGTGCACATTTGCCCTAAAAATCATGTCAGTTGTGTCTTTAGAAACTTTTTTCGGGGCGCTTGGGTGGCTCGGTCGTTAAGCGTCTGCCTTCGGCTTAGGTCATGCGAGCCCCATGTCGGGCTCCCTGCTTGGCGGGGAGCCTGCTTCTCCCTCTCCCACTCCCCCTGCTTGTGTTCCCTCTCTTGCTCGCTCTCTCTCTGTCAAATAAATAAAGATCTTAAAAAAAAAACCCACAACATTTTTCAGGCATATACTCTGTGTCAAATTGCTTCTCCTGTTCCTCTTTAAGGCAAAGATAAAAGTGGATTAGATTAACATATAGCATCAGGATAGAAATGGCTCACTGGGTCTAGTGGACGCCTGTACTGGGGGAGTTGATCTGGTCCTTGGATGTGGGGTGAGAATCTACTGGGATCTGATGCTGAAACCCACAACTTTTGTGAGGCATGTGTTCTAGTCTCATAGCACTGCACGCCTCCTGGGGAGCTTATACTTATGCTCATACTTTTTAGTTACCAACAGCGAGGCCCAGAGAGCCCTGAAAGAGGGGGCAACGTGGTCCAAGGGCAGGGTGAGTATTTAGGAATAGTTGGTTTTAGGTCATGTAAGTACCGTTACAAAGATTCAGAAGGGATAAATGTAGAGATTGTTTTGCTAAATCAACTAGGAAAATAATTGCATTGTCTTTCCCATTGACCATTTCAGGATAGAACACTTAGATTCTGAAGATCTGGCCAAGTTTCCTGAAGTTGTATTTGGGTACTTTTCTCCGGGTATGGTTGTCATCAGCACACCAAACTCTGAATTCAATCCCCTGTTTCCAGCATCTACCTTTAGAGATCCAGATCACAGATTTGAGTGGAACAGAACGCAGTTTCAGACGTGGTGAGTTCATAAATGTTTTTGTGAATTTTGTGGTGGGGTTGAGGGGGTGGGGGGAGATTACCCCACAGGAAGTCAATCTTGATACCTGTACCTGACTGAAGTTTTTTATCCTAATAAAGTTTCCCAAAATTCAGCTTGGTATTTAATAAAAGGGATCACCATATTTGGGCAAAATAAATGGAAGTTTTTGGTCTCAGGCAGCTAAGCAAAGTGGGGCACCAGGTATCTTTTTTTTTTTTTTTTTAAAGATTTTATTTATTTATTTGACAGAGAGAGAGACAGCGAGAGCAGGAACACAAGCAGGGGGAGTGGGAGAGGGGGAAGCAGGCTTCCCGCCAAGCAGGGAGCCTGATGTGGGACTCGATCCCAGGACCCTGGGATCATGACCTGAGCTGAAGGCAGACGCTTAACGACTGAGCCACCCAGGCGCCCGGCACCAGGTATCTTCTGATATGATGTCAGGAGTAGGAGTATTGGTGTGGAGATGAAACAAAACAGGAAGGGGGTGTGTATAGGGCAGTGAGGGTGAGCCTTATGCCCTGACACAAGTGTTCCTTGACAGATGGACAGATGGTCATGTTTCTGTCATGATTGCAAACCCAAATAGGAGTTTGTAGCCATTGTGGTCTCCTTTCTCATGCCTGCACTCTGTGCTCCATAACTTTCCCTTTCTCCATATTTTTGTGATTACCTGGAAACTTGACTCAGGACCCTAAAGCCCCTCAGAAGTAAGCAAACCCTGTGTGGCATTATGTGTTGCTGTAAGAATTTGCAAGTTGGGAAGCATTTTAGCTCATTGTATTTTCTGTTATACTGGAGATTTTTAATTTAACCATACCTTTCAAAAATGCATTTCTTTTGATTTTAGGGCTTTGGATGTGGCAAAACTGTACAATTACTCCGTAGAGTTCACTGGTGTGGGGGATCCACCAGCAGGAGCTGAGCATGTTGGATACTGTACCCAGATAGGGGTCTTCCAGAAAAACATAGCAAAGGCGACTGAATCGAGCATTTCAGAGCCAGAGGAACACGTTCCAGAGGAACACATTTATGAAGTTGTGAGTATTCTTTGAGGTAGTGACCAGGGTAAGTAAGAAGCGCGTGGGTTAGGCTGGTGAACTCTGTAGGGGTCCCCACTGTAGAGATAAATGTAAATGAGCTTAGAATCCTTCATGCCCACAACTGCCTTCAGGGTTGGTCTATCTACTTAGCCCTGGAGACCACCTGGCCTTTTGCCATGTCTCAAAGCACATTACAGAGAAAGATCAGAAGTCCTGGAAAGCCTCCAAGCTGATGTGCCAGTGACCCCCTATTGTAATTTGTTAGGATCAGCAGCACTTCCTCCATAGCGTGGCTCAGGAAATGAGTATTGCAGCTGAACCTCCAAGCTTCTCAGGCCCTTTGGGTTTCAGGAGGTATGGTGAAGAATAAGCACGTTGCCCTCCTAAGCATTTCTCTAATGTCATGTAGGAACATTGAGTTGGTATGAATTGGTGGAAAGCTGGCTTTGATCATTAGAATTTTTTTTTTAAAGATTTTAAAAGATTTTATTTATTTATTTGACAGAGAGAGACACAGAGAGGGAGCACAAGCAGGGGGAGCTGGAGAGGGAGAAGCAGGCTTCCCGCTGAGGAGGGAGCCCCATGCGGGGCTCGATCCCAGGACCCTGGGATCATGGCCTGAGCTGAAGGCAGACGCTTAACGACTGAGCCACCCAGGCGCCCCGATCATTAGAATTTTTAAAGCATATCAGATAGTTAATGACTGTGCTTGTGGCTTGATTCCCATTATATGGTGGCATGCATGGTAGTAGGATTTGATATGTATAGTTAATACACAGTTAATAATGTAAGAAGTTACTAATGAAGTGAAACCTCTTCCAATTTTTCCTTCAGGTTTACACCACCTCATACCCGAGTTTACAGCAAAGCAAATACTTCCGGCTTACTCTGAGTAGTGAGTCGGTCAAAGCAATCGGCTTAATGAAAAGCAGGTTTCTCCGGGGTCTGAGGAAAAGGGAGGGTGATCGAGTGGTACCACTTGGCAGTTGTACCCCACAGTTTGGATTAACAGAAGCTCAAAGGGCCGAAATAGACCAGTCCCCCAAACCTTACAGTGTGGGAGAGAAGTTCTACGTACCCCTGGAAAGACTCATTATTTATCCGAAGGTGAACCACTTGGTGGCAGGTAGTATGGAGAAGCTGAGAACAATACTTGCTGAGGGACTTCGACTGAATGGAGATCAAAGTGCGGTGCAGGTGGAGTTGGTTGATTACCAAACACAACGCCTCTTTGATGAGCATTTAATCAGCCCTGTGCTGGAGTCATAAGTTTAGGCAACTTGGTTTTGAATTTCTCTAACCTTGTTTTTCATATGCTTTTTGCAGGGTGGTGGAGAGGGTTCATAATGCGTTTGTTCATGTTTCTGTTAGACCCAGTTGGATGTGACTTTAAACATTCTTAAAGCAAATTGGATTGTCAAAATAAAACCTTTTCCCAGGGAATAAGTTTCAAAAGTTTCTAGGATTCTCTACCTCCTTTGGGCTAAATGCTCACCTGTACTGTAATATTTGCCTAAAACATACAGGAAATAATTGAAGATAAAAGCAGCCTCATCCCTGGCAGCTTACTGGGTGGAATTGGGGTTATTGTACCAGTTGAGAATGAACAGCTTCACCCTGGGGGGGAAAACTGGTTTAAATGAGAGACCTGAGTATAGAGGTTAGCTGAGACGCTGACCTCTGCCACTAAAGGGACCTATTCATCTGCCTTCCTGTTCTGATGTACCTCAGGGATGAAGGTGTTTTTGAGTTTGTTTTTTTTTTTTTTTAAAGATTTTATTTATTTATTCATGAGAGACAGAGAGAGAGAGAGAGGCAGAGGGAGAAGCAGGCTCCCAAGGAGCAGGGAGCCTGATGCGGGACTCGATCCCAGGACCCTGGGATCATGACGTGAGCCGAAGGCAGATGCTTAACCATCTGAGCCACCCAGGCGCCCTGTTTTTGAGTTTGTTACCACTTGAATATTGCAAATCCTATTCCAAGGAGAAAGAGCAAAGAAAGGGACAGGGCATGTGCTAGCTTTCTGGTAAGGCTGGTTCTACACCACTGTTCTGCTCCTTATTGAGCAGATGGAAGGATCACCTTACCACTCGAAAGCTGGGAGTTGTAGTTTCTCCTGAGCTGATGTGTGCCCAGTTCATGTCCTCCCAGGAAGGAACAAGGAGCGAAGGACCGTTGGCCACTTGCCAGTCTGCCACAGCTGTCATAGCCTCACTAACCAGGGGCAGGCTGGCTGTGGGGTGTTGGTGCCTAGGAAAGGCCTCTTGGGGTCATAGTTCCCAAGTTTTTTTGAAGGGTTGGTTAATAAGTAGAAAGTGGATTTGAAGAGGAGGGTCGGGAAAGAAGGGACTCAAGAATAGAATCTGATCACATAGTCTCTTGTTAACCAACTCTTCAGTCCCTCCACCCCCACCTTTCTAGACTGATTTTTCCATCTTGAATGCATAGGACCTGTAAGACATACTCTTGCTACACTGCCCCCATCCCCCCAACAAAAGGCCCCTGTCTTTCTAGGCTTCTGCATGACTTCTGCATATGGCTTCCTTCTCATCTGTTAGAGCCAAGGTTTCAAGCCCAAGCCCAAGTCCACCTGGCCTGTTGTCCTCCAGGCTAATTGATTACTTTGTTCAAGCTTCATCCCTTCCTGAGAACCTTTTCATATGATAGCTCTGGGTGATGGAGCTACTGTGTTTCCCATGTCTCTGGCGACATCAGGATCTACATCCTTTATTTGTCTTCACCCTCTATTTTGTTTTTTTTTTTTTTTTAAGATTTTATTTATTTATTTGACAGAGAGAGAGACAGCGAGAGCAGGAACACAAGCAGGGGGAGTGGGAGAGGGGGAAGCAGGCTTCCCGCGGAGCAAGGAGCCCGATGCGGGACTCGATCCCAGGACCCTGAGATCATTACCTGAGCCGAAGGCAGACTCTCAACGACTGAGCCACCCAGGCGCCCTTCACCCTCTATTTTGATACAGACCTTTGTACATGGAAAGGTTCATTAATGGTCTAAGCCAGGTGTCAGATGTTCTTGTAGAGATAGTAAATCTTTGCAGCTTTGCCAACCACTGAGCTTTCTGGGAATTGTGGTGGAAGAGTGGCCACAGATAAGGTGGATGTGTGTTCCACTAAAGTATAGACTAAAGGCAGCTGTTCTTGTCCACAGTTGGCAGTTTGTTCTAAACAAAAAAGCTATGTACACTTACCCTTTAGCAGCATGGAAATGGAGACCATTCTAAAAGGACAAAAGCAATTAGAGACTTTATTGTTGTAAACCCAGCCAAAGCTGGGTTTGCTAGGGGAATTTTTAGCTCACTTCTGTGTCTACTGGGAGAAATAACTGCCTGGAGTTTAAGCACTGAGAAGACTGCCTGGCCCAGAGTAATGTTCCTTCTAAGGTAGCTGTGTTAATCGCAGCAGTGTTAGATAAGGGCTCATCCCCTCATCCAGGCAGCTGGTTCTCACAGCAAGGCATGTTGCAGGTCTAGAAAGTGAACAGTCCTTTAAGGTTGGGACTGAACCATCCAATACCTGATTAAGAAAAGTGGCAACCCTAGGAGCGCCCGGGTGGCTGTCGGCTAAGCGTCTGCCTTCAGCTCAGGTCATGATCCCAGGGTCCTGGGATCGAGCTCCACATGGGGCTCCTTGCTCAGTGGGGAGCTTGCTTTGCCTGCCACTCCCCCTGCTTGTGCTCTGACAGTCTGCCTCTGACAAAATCTTTAGGGTTGCTACTTTTTCGAGTATCTTCTCTGCTTTATATACAAAATGAGTTGTGTAAAGTTCTAGCCAGATTTCAGGTGTCTAAGTGTGGGGACCTACTGAAATAAAGATGAGTCCTCTCCAGCCACTCTTTTTAAAACACCTTGAGGGGCGCCTGGGTGGCTCAGTGGGTTAAGTGGGTGTCTGCCTTCAGCTCCGGTCATGATCCCAGGGTCCTGGGATGGAGTCCTGCATCAGGCTTTTCCCCCACCCCCCCAGCTTGTGCTCTCTCACTCTCACATTTTAAAATATTTTGAGGAAGAACAGCGGGGAGGGAGAAGCAGACCCCTCACCGAGCAGGGAGCCTGACATGGGGCTCGATCCCAGGACGCGGAGATCATGACCTGAGCCGAAGGCAGATGCTTCACCAACTGAGCCACCCAGGCGTCCCAGTCACTGTCCCTGTTGAACTTGCTCTCTGCTCTCCCTTTACTTCACCTCCCAGTGCATTCCCCAGCTCATGTAAAGCCCCCCCCACCCAGGGGGCAGTGTTGGATGGCCACCTCCCCTTCATCCCTACTTTATTTTCCAGCAGCTTCCTGTAAAAGGGGACATGAGGGAATTTTTAAAATTTTGAATCATGCTTTGCTATCAGTAGGTTTCTTTTTCCTCCATGCAGGCTGCATATTAGGCCCTCTCTGGGGGAGATGTTTAAAAGAAGCTTCCCTTTGCTTTCCTGTAGGGGAACTCCTGCCTGTGTATGTGTCCCTTATATGTTAGGTAAAACAAATTTCCTGTTATAAAACCCGTGCTAAATCCTGGTTTGAGAAGCCTTAGGGTGCAGAGACTGGTGAGCAGCAGGAAGTTGACAGCTCTGGCTGAAACTTGATATTAAGGTATTTGATGGTGGTTTCTATCTTATCTCTAGTATCCCTCCAAAACCCAAAAGAACAACCCTGCCAATTAAAAACTAAACTCGTTTTTCTATAATCTAAAAAAAATTGTAAAAGTAAACTTTAAAAATGAAGACAATTCAGAACTATGTAGACACTAAAGTAAGCTTTATAATCTTTATGCTTTTTCCTTACTACCTGCCCCCGACACCATCTTTGGAAACTCCGTGCACTTCATTCAGTGCTTTCTTGAAGAAAGCAGCCCTGCCAACCATTCCTCAGAATTCCAGGGGATTAAAATGTCTATCTTATGATACCATTTTATATAAATGGTATTGACTTTTTGATGCAGCTTCCTTAACACTAGCAGTGTATTTTATAAATTCATTTCCATCTGTTTGTATTCATTTTAATGATCACTTTTTTCTTGGGGCACCTCGGTGGGTCAGTCAAGCGTCTGCCTTGGGCTCAGGTCATGATCCCAGGGTCCTGGGATCAAGCGCCATATCAGGCTCCCTACTCAGCAGGGCTGCTTCTCCCTCTCCTTCTGCCCCTCCCCCTTGCTTGTGCACTCTCTCTCAAATAATTTTTTTTAAAAATTAAAAGTGATCACTTTTTTCTTAAGTTTATGTTAAAAAATGGTGTCTGACAAAGTGTCCCTGCAGTGTTTGTACCCCCTCCCATCTCACTCCTTAGAGACAACAAAGGTTCTTATGTTCACAATAACTGGAATTACAAGTAGATTCCAGTTTTACAAGAACCAGTGCCTTTTTCAGGGGGTGGATTGTTCCTCTAGGAAAACCCTCGGAATGGACTGCAGGGTTTGTAAATAAAGGCCTCAACTTTTAAGATGTCTTTGCTCCAAGGAATTTCACTGCACTGAATGGTAATGAAAAGTGTGGTTGCGTAGGAGAGGCAGTTCTTAAGAGGGAAAAATAGGGCCATAGCCCACCTCCAAGAGTAGGTGTGGAATGTGTGTTACCAGGTATTAGAACACCCCTGGCCCTTGATCTGAATAAAAGTTTGCCTCCAGCTGTTTCCATGGTCTGGAAGCTTCAAGTCCTGACAGCACTGTGGCTTCAAGTTTAGTTTCCATGCCCTGGAGACGGCAGTGACTCTTCACAGCTCCTACCAACCCTTCCTCCTCTGCTCAACTCTAGTCTCCTCACGCATGTCACACCCTGCGGTTGAGCTCTCAGAGGTACTGCTCTCCACCCCGGGGGCTCAGTTCTGTTGCTGAGTATCAAGGAGTAATTCCAAGTGAAATTCCCTCAGCTAGATGCCAACAGAAGCACCTTGTTACGCAGGGTCCTGTGTTTGTTTAGCTGCTGACAGGAGGTCAGGGAGGAGCGGTGTGCAAGGTGGAATCTCGAGCCGTACCTTCAAGGATGCCAGGTGGTTTAACCACGGCTAACAGGCTTGCTCTCGGTACAGGATGCCCATCTTCCAGGGGTATCCCGCAACAGGGAACACACGGGTTTTCCCAAGGTCTTGCAAAACAAGCTGGTGGGAGCCAGAGGTCAGAAATTTGTATGGGAGATGTTTCACCTCTTTTGCAACTAGTATTTGAAGACCACGGCATGCCAGGCTCCTTATACAAATCGTTTGGAAGTCACCCGTCAACGCTCGGCCCTTTGTGTGCCGGTCACGTTTTGGGGACTCTCCGCCTGCACTGTTGCCTTCATCTCCTTTTCATCCTCATGGGACTGTGGCTGGAATTAGTCAGATTAAGCTCTGGGCATTTTATGGTCTTTCCCAGAAACGTCACATTGCTCTCTACTCCTGTGCCTTAGCCTTAGCCTTGACCCAGTCAGATTCTTTGCATTTGTTGAAGAGGCTCTGAAACTCTACTGCGATCTTTGTCTAGCCTCATCCCTCTGGAAGCCATTTATGCTGACCACCCCGTCCGTTCTAGTAGGAATCCTCACAGAACAGTTGACAATCTTTTATTAATTCCACATTAAAGGAAAACAATTTACTTAAGTAGGGTAAAAGTCTCTGATGCTTCCAAATCTTTTTTTGTGAGTATTTCAAATTATGTAAAATTAGTATTGAACAGAGGCACCAGGCAGGCTCAGTCATTAGAGCATGTGACTCGATCTGGGGGTTGTAAGTTCAAGCCCCATGTTCGGCAGAGAGTTTACTTAAAAAAAAATTAGTATTGAAAGTATTTTTCCTTTTGTCTTAATTCCATAGATTACTGGGAATGGGGCAGACACAGGGTCACTTGGGAGAGAGTTGAACTGAATCACTGAAGTTAAATACCACAAGGTGGCACACTTTTCCCACTTAAAGGTAATTGTACTGGGCTTTGAGAACTCCCTGATACAAATAAGCGGCAAAATAACTTGAAGCTTTTTGCAAGTATACTTGGAAATAACTGCTAAATGGTTTAAAGATCAGTTTAAGAGAAATGGTTAAGGAGAAATCTCTAGAAGTCAAGTGCATAGGAACGGGGTCTAATGTAATTCAGGCAGGAAGGTCTCTGACATTTTGTTTCCTTGTCATGTGGGGCCAAATGGAATAGATGTCATCGACTCAGGGAGTGTCCAAATGGTAGCCTTTTCTGTTTGCTTCCTAAAGTTTTGTTACATTTTGTGTGATGTGGGATGGATTAACACCACCAAATATTTCCTATCATGCAGACAAAGATTTGTCCATACCGGGTGTGTGATATGTAGGTGCAGGAATGAAGGACTAAAATGTGGTGAGGGAGGAAGGAGAGAAAAACACCGGGTGTTGGGGCAAGGCTGGGCCTGGGAACTCCATGCCTGAGATGTGGGCAAGGGAGTATGAGGGCAGATCAGAGGGCCTTGCCGGCTTCTGCTGTGATCTGGCACCGTGATCCCCATCCCACAGGGTCTTGCTGCTTAGTGCACATAATCTTTCCTCATCTGCATGGCAATCTGCAGAGAGAGAGATGTGGGTTCAAACCCATAGTGAACCATTGCTCTTTACATGGCTATTGTCATTTGAGTATCAGCAAAGGGAACGTGCTGGCGCTGTTCCCCTGTGAGGACCTAGTCAAAGGGAGGAATAGTCTGTGGACAGTGGTGGCACTGAGCATCATTTCCGTGAGGATCTTACCCTCTAATGGTGGCCTGTTGACCATCTTCTATGTGTCTAGCACTAGAATGAAGGTATGTATGTAGATGCTGCACAAAGGCCAATTTTGGCCCAATAGGAGTGCTTACTGTGGTATATTCCTAATAGTTCATGGGTTCTTGCTCCTAACCCAGAAGAGTCAGTGATAGTATTATGTCCACCCTCAATTAGAAACAGGTTCAGAAGGGAGCTTGAATTCGGACTCAGGTCTGTCTTACTCTAGAGCCCATGCCCCCCCCCCCCCCCCCCACTGCAGGGTGAAGCTCAGAGTTCAAAAGAAGGGTCTTTCCCTAGAGGATTCAAGTCTGTGCTGCACCACCTGGTAATAAATGAGGGGAACCGTCAGGGAGAACGTATACTGATCCTTTTACTTCTGTTCTCTTACCTTGGCGAGAATCTGACTGATTTCTGACAGAATCTTAACTGACATTTTAAAGTATACACATTGTAAAGTTTAAGATGATTTTTATTGAACAGGTAAAAGATTCACCTTTACATTATTAGAAATACAATAAATTTTTTTTGGTAAAAATTTCCTGGATTTATAGTTGTACAGTCAAATATATAAATATGAAGGTCATTTTCCAAGTATTAGAACAATACTAATGGAATCACTTCCATAACAATTTTTTCTCCATAAACATTTACATGATTACCCACAAATTGTATCAACTTCCAGAATAAGATGTATTTCCAAAAAACAATCAAACAATATATCCTAAGTATTCCTCTGCATGGGATTTGGTCAATGAATATCAGCAAGAGAATTTTGTTATATATATATAAGATGAACATAAACATTTGTAAATGCAGACTATGTTGTCGTTGTAAATAAAAAATTTTGCCAGCTTTGTCATAGGGAGTAGAGACCACCCACACGACTATTTAAAATATACTGTGTATATATTCTCTTATGAAAAATCATATATCTAAGGTAATAAGGCCTTTATTTCCAGAGTAGTCTTTAAACTTATTTCATCCTTTATATTTTTAGACTTTATATTCTTAAACATCTGAGCTATTAAAATTATGCATAGTACCTAAGCCAACACAGAAAGGGGCGTTAATAATTTCAGTTACAGTACTTGAATATATTCACATGACGTACCATCTAAGAGAACCGACCAAGTATAATTTCTGAACTGTCCCAGTTAGACCTGTTGAAATAAAATGCAACCCCATCATATAAGCCCAGTCTCTTTTAAGCACTGTTATATGATTATGTAAGTATGACGTAGACTAACACTTCAGAGCACTTAAGTATTTAATACTGTCAGCTCGAGTCTGCAAAGTGGTCTAGCTGGCGCGGCAGTCTCAGTCTAAAATTACTTCTGGATGTCTTATGTTTTGGTTGGAGGTTAGCTGAAGATTTGTTTTCCTTCTAGTAACAAATAGGCTAAGTGGTGGACCTTGATGGCTCACAGTTTTCCTGCAAAAGCAAAACAAAACGGAGGAATCTAGTTTGGATATCATTGCTCTGATGGTATTTTCCTGTAATGGGATGGTGGGCTTTAGGATTCTTGGTCAAGACTTTCTCAGATTTTAAAGTACTAATCCACAACAGTTGCTGAGTATGGAAGGCTTCCACACCTCAAAGGGGAGTCAACCATCAAAATGCAAACTGATGGCCCAGGGCTGCTCTGCCCCTGCTACCCGACATCCTCTCTGGTCTCAGTTACCAGCTTGAGTCACAGGAAGTGGGCTTCTGACTGGCCTCTGTATTTCCCCCAAACAGGGTATTTAAGACTTCCTTTTCTGACCACAAATAAATAGCTTTAATATACCATTAATCTTTCTCTAGGATAGGATTAGACAAAGACAATGTTATACATTTGCAAATTCTCCAAGACTGGGTGATTTGAAATTTGACTTTAAAGACCAATTTATTAAGATCTAATTTTTCGAATCCAATTTTCTCAATTCCAAATGGAACCAAAAGTGCACTTGGTATTTAAAAAGCAACACTACATGAAAAACTAATGATGTACTGTATGGTGACTAACATAACATTAAAAAAATAAAAAAAAATAAAAATTCTCAAATTAAATAAAAAGCAGTTTTTAAAAATAGCTACATCTTTAAGATATGGCTACACAGTACATGCTCTAAGAAAAACCAGAAAAACCAGGCAGACATTTAAACAAACTTTAACAAATATTTCCAGGGGACTGTAAATAAATGTGATTGCAAAGTATGCCCACCAATGCCACACAAAATAAAAGGAATCCAGACTTGTGCTGACTTTTCCCTCATTGATGTTTCTATTAAAATGATTTCCTACTACATAAATCAAGATGTATCTGGTGGTTGCTAAAATTATAGAGGGCATGATTTTTATGCTTTTCAAGATCTCCACATTTTTAAAAAAATAATTCTGTATCTTTTTAAATGCTGAGAGCCAGTCTTGTATAAAGGTACGAGGAAGCCAAGGGCAGGCAGGGATAAGATGGGCAATGCCTGGATTACAGGACCTTTCACATATCTGAAGAATGTCCTCACTGAACCTTGCTTATAATTGATAGCTTTTATCATTTTCAAAATGGCAAAATCATTTGCAGAAGTGCCAATAAAAAATATAGCCTAGAAATATTTTGAAAATAGAAAAATATGTTCTTAAAACATGTCATAAATATCTGTAAACACTAGTTTCATATCTCTATTAAAAACTTTGACCCCCCCCCCCAATAATATATAATGGATGGATCAGCTCACTGTTAATCACAGAGAGCAAGCAAGTCTTTACCACTTAAGCTAATGGTTTTTTCCTTGGTTAGACTAAAATGGTCAGGTCAATTTTTTTCCTTTGTCAAAATAAAATAAAAGTATTACTAATGACTCAAACTCTATCAACATTCAAAAGATTCTAAAATGGGGTTTTACTTTTTTAAAAATATCTATTTGCAGTAGAACTGGATTAATTTAGAATACCTAAGCTTTGGAATGTTAAAAAATCTAAAACCCTAACGAACTACTCAAAATTTTTCCAAATCTCTACATTTGGACATTGAAATACCTTCTTAATGTATTTTCCCCTTACTTTGCCAACACAAAAATACCTAGACCAAAGTTATTCTAACGTATTGTGTTTTATCTGCACACAGTTTTGAATGTAAGGACTGGGAATTACTGGTTCTATAGAATCTGCATTTTTCTTCAGTGACTGAGTGACTCCAAGAACATTAAAACTTGTCATGTAAGACCAGAAAAACTTCCCACCTGATAAAAAGATGGTCTGTCTGCTGAGCTTGTTAAACTGGATCCAGATCAGATATTCTTACTTTTAAAGCTATATTGGATTATGTTATAGTCTACTGTCTCAAAACAACTACTGTTACAGTAAAGGAAAAAACATAGTATCCTATTGTGCGGAGTTTAAAATAGAAAACCACGAGTCCATGTCAGTAATGTCAAGCAGCTGTCCCCTGTCTTATCTGCTACCTCCTTGGAATAATTTTCAGTTTCAGATATAAGTCTGAACTTACACAGAAAAGGCCACTGTTTCTGATCATGCTACAATTTTCCTCCTGTTCTGAATTCTGACTCCTGAAACCAGCAGATATTACTCAGTTAGAACAGCTCTTAAAGGTGCCTTATGGGAGCTTAACCTATTAAATATTAAACTTAGCGTGAATCTCATCTATAGTGCTAGTAGGAGTTCTGCAGCTCATCTAACGTTAACTAGTAACAATACGTGTTGCAAAATAATGGCAGGCATTACACTCATTCACCTATCTCAGACTTAAACACATTCCATTTGTGACAGATATGGTGAGAATTAAGCATTCTACACGTTTAAATTGTAGTATAACATTTTCCCCCAAACATGAACACCCAAACTTTGTATCAATTATTTAATCAAGAAAAGTTACTAAACAGTACAATACTATAGGTAGGGTGGAATCTGGGAGATTTCCTTAAGAGGTTATAACTATCTTGATAGAATTTATAGGGTCCACATGATTCACTTATTACCTCCCAAACATTAAAATGAAATAATTAGAGCCCAAACCTGCTGAGCGCCTCTACTACAGGCTTTATACTTCAGCACGGAGCTATACTCAGATGTATAGTGTTGCTTTCCCCACCTGGATGTTTGGAAAGAAAAAGCAGGCTTTTCATTATCCTATGCAGTGACCGCGGAAGCCGTCTGCCGCTAGCGACACGTGGCCCAGCACCTGGATGCTACAGTTCTGATGTTCCCTTTCCGTGGGTGGCACAGGGCAGTGGTGGGCACTTTCCGAGAAGAAATCGGTGTTGGCTTTCCTCTTAATAGAGGACCGTGCTTCATTTGTAAAATACGCTCATTTTCTCCTAAGTGCTTGAACGAAGTGCCTCGACAGCTTGACTGCCCACGTCTCAACCCCCCAGGGAAGCTTCAGTTCACCAGCTTGACTTCTAGCGTTTGATCACAACTTGTTCATAAGCTCCGGACCCCACCCTACAACAGGAGGGGAAAAAAAAAACACTTCAAGATCTTGAGCTGTAATGCTTAACACTGTTCTGGTTAAGCTTGCCCTCAAAGAGATAGTGCATTAGGCATTTTCTGCTAGATTTAATTTCCACACGGTTTAAAGAGATCACAGATAGAAAATACTTGAAATATTAAATGTTTATCATCAATATGTTGGATTAGTCGAGTCATACTTATTCCTACAATAATCTAGTATTGTTCCTAAATCTTTAACGTGTGGCAAGAAATCTTTTCTTGAAACCTGTTTATATGTAAATCCTAAAAAATCAATCTCATCCAAGAGTATATATTGACTGGCAATTTACCCAGGCCTTGCAGTTAATGGGTGATTGTTTTTAGCGTGTGGTGTCTTAATGTACCTTTCTAGAAAGTACAAGAATTCTTTTAGTCAGCCTGCCAATGTCTTCATTTTTTTTTTTTTTAAAGATTTCATGTATTTGAGAGAGAGCGAGCGAGCGAGAGAGCGCATGAGCAGAGGGAGCGGCAGAGGCAGAGGGAGAAGCAGACTCCCCGCGGAGCAGGGAGCCTGATGCGGGGCTTGATCCCAGGACCCTGGGATCATGACCTGAGCCGAAGGTGGACACTTAACAGACTGAGCCACCCAGGTGCCCCATGCCACTGTCTTTATATGTAGTCAGTAATGTAAATTATACCGGTGTAATACAGATTTAAAGTGAAGTGGTTTTTTTTAAAGATTTATTTATTAGAGAGATGGTATGAAAGCAGGGGGAGAGAGAGAAAGAAAGAGAGAAACAGACTTCTGTTGAGCGTGGAGGCTTGATCCCACAACCTTGAGATCATGACCTGAGCCGAAATCAAGAGTTGGACGTTTAACCGACTGAGCCACCCAGGTGCCCCTAAAGTGAAGTGATCTTGAAGAGGGGTTTATTTCTTCATTAGCTTGGTTTGGCATACTGCTGGTTGTCCCCCTAAATCTATCCTCTCCTTCTTCATGGTTCTGGCTACAGGCTGTACAGGCTTCTCAGCTAGAGGCCACAATTCCTAAACTCCTTTGTTGACAGGTGTTGGCATGTGACTTAGTCCCCCCCCCCCCCCCCATGGAACATGAATGGGGATGTGTCAACTCTGTCTCACTTGCTTAAAGAGAAATTGCTTGCTCTGGACTGGTAGCCATCCAAGTTTGACAACAGGTAGGGAATATGGTGAAGGGCAAAATGGAGGCGCCTTGGGTCAGTGAATCACCTTCTGAGGCAAAGCTGTCTCGTCAGCCTGGCCACCCTATTTCTGGTTCTCTTTGTTATAGCAGCTTAGCCTTTGTCCTGATATTCCAGGCACTGACTGACCTCTATTAATGAAATATGGAGAATACTAAAAACTTAAAATTTGCAAGCTTTGTGACTAAAACATATTTAAATGAAGTAATGGCCTCATCAACAGAAGGTCTGTTATTGCTGATGCACCTAGTACCTTGGCCCTAGGTTATAATGGAATGAACACACCTGTTCCCTCTATCGTTTCTTCATCTGGGAGGATAAAGGTTTTCTACATGTCTATAAAAGCACAGTGCCTTTTTGATGGCAGCTGGGTTTATTTTTAGGTGAGGATCCTTGAGCCTTCCTGAGTAAGCAGGAGGGGATGGTATTATTGCTTCAAGTTATCACCAGTACCCATCTCCTCCTGTGTCAAGACGCCAGGGGCTACACTACTTGACCATTTCACACTCTGAGTATGCCCAAGATTAGTAAGACCAGAAGCAACCACCATGACTGGTCTCTTCCCAGATGGAATTTTAAGAGGAAATTCTAAAAAATGGGAGTAATGTACTGGTTACCAGCCCACTGTGGACTGAATTGGACTTTTCAGTTGACTGCTCAGAGGCTCCTGTTCTTACAGAGTCATTCTGCAGAAGAAACGGGAACATTCATAACACCAGTGAACATTCATGCACAGCTACAGACAATCAGAATTTGAAGGGACCTTGCTGAGCACCGCCCCTGCACAGAGGCCCTAAAATGGTTCTACTCTGGCAATGATGGAGTAACAGGAACCGGACTTTCCCTCCTGCTTTAAATAACTAGAACATTTTTACAGCACATGTAAAACAACAGTTTTACACACTGGACAACAGGCAGTACAGGACTGGTTCTGAGAGAAGGGAAATCAATGAAGAAAGCCCAAAGCGGTTTCCTTCAGGGTCCTTCCAGCCTGCAGTGCAGGGAGAACCCCAACACAGCCAGGTGGTCTTTCTGAGTGCGGGGCGGGGGTCACTCTTTCTGAGCTCAGGGAGGCTGGGGGCTAGAATCTGTAGGTGAGGAAAACAGAAGGAGGGGCAGGTAAAAATAATGGCTGGAGAATTTCCAAACTTGAGGAAAACTGTAAACCACAGATCCAAGAAGCTTCATGGACCCCAAGCAAAATAAACACAAAAAGAAACACTCCAAGGCACATCATAACCAAACTGCTAATAACCAGTGATAAAATCTAAAAATGGCCAGAGATGAAAGACAAATCACAGAGAGGAACAAAAGCAAATGAAAGCACTTTCTGTCAGAAACTAAATGTCTCAAAGGCAAGCAAGGAGGTGCAACCCTGCAACCTCTGTAGGCATCCCTGAGCTGGTCAGGCTGTACCCACTAGGCTTCAGAGGGGTTACTGGGGGTATTCCTCCCCAAGTCTCGATTGCTTATTGCTCTGTTCCTTCATTCTCATGGGTTCACTTTCCTAACTAGGTATGTATGGTTCTTGTGCCTCTTCAGTGCCGGAGTAAATGATTCTAGTTTCATCTTGTGCTGCCAGTTTCTCTCTCAGAATAGATCTGATGCTAACACATTTGTGTGTCCTCATCACACCTAGTGATGGAGAGCCTACGTATACAAGTATTATGCTGGGTACTTCAAATAACTCTGCAAGAGAGACCTTTAATTAGTGCATATTAAGTACTTGAGTGTTTAACTGCATGCCAGGTTTTGTTTTAGCCATTTACATGTCTTACCTCACTTAATTTAAGCCTTATAACGCTTATGAGGTGGGATCCTTTATCGTCACTATTTTGTAGTTTAGGAGACTGAGGCAGAGAGAAGTGGGGTGACTTACTGAAGACACACAGCTGATACTTGATGGAGCTTGGGACCGAACCCAGGGAGCCCAACTCCAGAGCCTGTGTCGTTAACCCCAGCGATATGTCTTTTTGGTGGCAAGTAAGAGATGTGATTTGTCAGGATTATAGCCAAGCTGGGTTATGATGGCTAAGCCAGGAATGAAATCTATGTCTGACTGCATGGCACATTCTCTTCTCACCATAATACACTATCTCTAACATTTCTCAGCCTTTCTGTGGCATGTGACATCTACTTCAACCCCTAATTATAATGTTAGACTTTCATGCATTGGGTGATGATTCTTCTAACATTCATTTGGAAAGGGGGTGGGACTCAAAACTATGAATGCTTTTATATCCTAAGTTCTAGATTATCTCTCAAATAGAAATTATTTTTCTTTCCTCAGAGTAACAACAATATATACAACCAGCATATACTGAGAGCTGTCCATGTGTTAACTGTGTTAAATACTTTATATTACTTATCTAATTTAATCCTCAGTAAAATCCTATGAGTTAGGTAATATTTATCACTCCCATTTTTCAGGTGAGGAAAATAAGCCTTACAGAGGTTAATAACATCAGTAAAGCAGATAGGGGTGGGAAGTCTGACTTGGACCCTGAGCAGTCTGAAATGAGAGTAGAGATAACTTGTGCCTTTGAGCATTTACTACTTTGGTTCCTTTTGGTTGGAACTATATTGTTTGTGTTTCTTCTACCTAAATTGATAATTGCTAGAGCTTACTCAGTATATTATGTCATTTACTCTTGACATCAATCCCATGATTACCCCCGCTTTTCAACAGGGGTAACTAAAATTCCATTGAGATTAAAAGATTTACTGAGGCCCCAAAAGTGGTCTGGCTAGGATATAACCCAAACTCTTTAACTCAAAAACACATGTTCTCTTGACCGTACTTATCACTGTCCTCATAGATGCCTCTCCTAGTCTCTCCTTGCTCCAATCTCCCCCGCCCACCCACCCAACCCGCTCAAATTATGACTAGTTTTCTAAAATGCCCATCTGATAGATCACTTTCCTGCAAAGAATGATCAAACTGTACACATGATAAAAAAAGATAATAAACTCTTTGTTATGGTGATAGAGGCCATTTAAAACAACCTGGCTTTGAGATTGTTGCCAACCTCATGTCCCACAGCCTCCTTCCCATGCCCCCTCTTCAGGAGTACCTGTTCACTGGCAACTCCCTAAGTAGGTCAGGTTATTCACAAGCCAGCAAGGTCTGATAGTTAGCCACCACAAATGTGTTTGTGTTCAGACTCAAAGAGACAGGAGTTTGAATCCTGGTTTTATCACTTATTAGTTTTAAGGCTTTGGGCAAATTTCTTTGACCTCTTCGTTTTCTCTTTTTACAAACTAATAACAGTACCTTGTGAGTACTGAAAGAGATAATGTAAGAACTGAATGAAACATATATATGTGCCTGTTACATAAATAAGTGCTCAGTAAGTGTTACCTGTAATTATTATATATTTACTGTTATATAATGATATAATTGTTATACCTACAAGCTCATTCTATTTGAACCGATTACCAGGAATATTTGTCTTCCTCATATCCACCTGTTAACCTCATTTACCTCTTAATTCTCTCCAAGACTCTTTACAGGTGTCAACTTTCTAGGAGGTTTTCTCTGAGTGAGGTCCTATCTTGTTCTCTCAGTTTCCTCTACTTCTCTATATTATAGTACTTACTATACTGCTATAAATTTTAGTTTGTCTATCTCACCTGCTACAAAGAGACAGAGAATAAATATTTTAGGCTCCGTGGGCCACTGTGATCTCTACATACTACTCAACTCTGCTACGGGAGCATCAAAGCAGCCATCGGTAATACATAAATAGGTGTTGTTGTATTCCAATAAAATTATTTCTACAAAACTAGGCAGTGAGCCAACTTGGCTCACAGGCTGTAATTTGCCAACCCTATGTGCTAGGAACATAAGCTAGCTGAGGGTGAGCTGGGTCTTTCTGCTTTGCATCCTTACCCATGACTTGGCCTAATAAATAGTTACTGAATTTAATGAATGGGTAAGTCAGTGAGAGGTAACGAAAACTATAAATTGTGCTTACATCCTCTAAAATCCCCAGTTCAAATGAACCATCTCCTCATAGTCTCTTTGTATGTCCCTCTCTTACCTACCCATCACATCTGATTGTAGGTATTTACTGTTACCGTTCATATCTTTTGGACCCTGCGATGTGCTGGACACATAGGAGGTACTCAATAAGACCAGTACTGGTGGAACAAATGAATGAGACATTCTTTGAGGTTGTGAGCATTAGAGAATAAAATAACTGTCTTGGACCAAGGAGGGCTCCCTAACCAACTCTGACTTATCCTGGAACTCTACATAAATATTATGTGGAAATACTGAGTATCGGGGGTGCACGTCAGGGCAGAGATCAGAATTCCTCAAGTGTTCTGAGCATCAGGGCTCATGACTATTTGCTGCAGGGCTGGGAAACTGAATGGTAAGTCTGGCAGGTACCTTTTCTTCACCTGAATCTGAGTAACTCCCAAAATCATGTTTGTTTTTTCTGAGCTGTTCTTAGTATGTAGATTAGACTCTTGTAGGGTGGAGAAGAGGGGAGTACAAAAAAGGTTAATACTAAGTGTTTGCTGCTGAGTGGCTGTGTAACTGCTCACAACAGACAAGATCACTGACTGAAAGGTAATTCTGCTTTGCTCTTTCTAAAATATCAGACTAAGAACTTTTTTTTTTTTAAGATTTTACTTACTTGTCAAAGAGCAAGAGAGGACAAGTATAAAAGCAGGGGGAGCAGCAGAGGGAGAGGGGGAAGCAGGCTCCCCGAAGAGCAGGGAGCCCGATGTGGGAGTTGATCCCAGGATCCTGGGATCGTGACCCGAGCCGAAGGCAGATGCTTAACCAACTGAGCCACACAGGTGCCCCCTAAGAACTCTTTCCTAAACATCCCTTTTTAATTGCATCTTGCCCAATGCTCCTCTAGTCCTCTACTAATACATTCTAAAAACACACTTAAGAAAATCAACAAATAGGGGCGCCTGGGTGGCTCAGTCGTTAAGCACCTGCCTTCGGCTCAGGTCATGATCCCAGGGTCCTAGGATTGAGCCCCTCATCGGGCTCCCTGCTGGTCAGGAAGCCTGCTTCTCTCTCTCCCACTCCCCCTGCTTGTGTTCCCTCTCTCGCTGTGTCTCTCTCTGTCAAATAAATAAATAAATCTTAAAAAAAAAGAGAAGAAAATCAACAAATAAACTTATAATTCAAACATACTCAAGGAAAACTCAGAGCTGTAATTCTTCTCATGGAATCACTGTATGTGTTTTCTAGCCTCAGTCTAATACAAACTTTGTACCCTTCATCTTCCACTCAAGAACATTTAAAAGAAAAAGGCAGTGTATTCTTTATTTAATAAGAGACTGTCTGGACTACATACCTATTTGGAAGATGATGGCTGCCGAAGGTGGTACTTCCCCCAGGACCCACAAATAACCTCAGGCCTTCTTCTGCAATTCACATTTAAAATACTTGTTATAGGTACAGTTACTAGATTGTCATCAAATAATATTCCTATTGTACTCAATTCATATTTTATGTTTCAGAAAGTTTTATTAAAGAAATAAAAAACTTAAAAAGCTGCACGCATGTTTTCAAACAGGCAATTTAGAAGATATCCTCATAGTTATTTCTCATCAACCTCCCTAAAGCTATTTTTCTTTAAAACTGAGTAAAGAAGACATCTCTTCCTATAAATTTCCACAAGTAAATTTTTACAACCAGTTACGTAGTGAAACTAAGTCCATTGTTAACTGCTCTCTATTCACACCAGCATGGATAATTACACCTTTCAAACTGGTGGCATGTAAATTTTCAGCCTCAGTGAAAATGCTGAGGAAGGAATAAAAGATTCTATTATTCGCTATCATCTCAAGATCACCACCCAACCCTCCAAATTACACTGATGTGAAGTACTAGTGTTCAGTTATGTCAAAACAGATGTAGACATTGGCCATAAGGTATATAAACACAGTGGATGTTGAGGCATACACAATAAAACCTCTCTTCAAAATTGATGTTTTTAAACTCAAGTTCATTCTTCTCCCAATTTAATATTCATTCCTGAAAATAAATGAGCTACAAAGTTATCTTCAGATTTTCATGGGCAATGAAATTCATTTTACCGACATGTAACAGTCAGGGTGATGTAAGGACCCTTTCCGGTTGAGCACACGGACTACACGGACCTGGGTTGCAGACATCTATGCACATTTAATATTACCCATATACCTTCGGCACTGGAATCTAGGCTGAAGTCTTGACTCTGTAGTATTTTCTCCACAATATCATCTGCATCCACTCTGGTGTCATCAACTCGCTTCAGCTGAGATTCTACAGAATCTTGCTTCACTGGGCATCTTGGAAAATAATTAAAAAAAATTTTTCCCCTCCTTTTTCTTATGAGAACAAAGTTGTTTTTTTCTCCCCATTTAAGCACAGACTGAAAGGATACCTGGTGAGCATTTCCGAAGCAGTATCTTCTTTGCCGGCTGGATCAAGGTTTGTTTCGGCTATTTTTGGCTCAATTTCATCACACGGCTCTAGAATGCTTTCAATTCCCGTTGATGTGCTTCCCACTGAGGTGTTTCTCCTGTGACAGAGCTCAGAAAAACTGGATGACCGGGAGTGGCACGAGCTATACCCTGTCAGAGAAAAGCGCTCTGGATAAAACACTAACATCAAATACACTGCAATCAAGCGTTCTTCTTCCACACCCCAGCAATTTCAATTAATCCCTTAGAGCAATAAATGTCTAAGGAATTCAACCTCACTGTTAGTCTCTACCTGATACTTTTGACTGCTGGCTTGCATAGCTTGATGTTCTAGAATGTCCACAGGCGCCAAGTTCATCTGGAACAGAGGCACTCTTTGCTGAAAGATCTGCAATATGTCATAACACAGTGTTACTATGACTGCCAACAAGTCAATGGTCAATTTGTATTCTCATCTGCAGATTTTGTAAACTGCCAAGTTCATTATCAAGAAAAATTAGTTACAAAGTGAAAGAGACCCTTTTAAATTGGTACAATGTCAACTGCAAGAAATATAAAAAACTTAGTTTATTGAAGAAATACTTTTTTTATAAGATTTAACAGCACTCTATCTTGAATAAAACCATTTCAGCTTTGACATTCAGTATTTCTCTAATAAAAATGAGTCGGATGTATTCTTATACTCATAAAATAGCCAGGTCTTTGTGTGCTTTTTGAGGAAATCTTGCTCTCAAAAAATCCATCACAGCAGTAAACTAAAGAGCACGACTTTAATGTTAGTATTGCTAGTGGTAGGCTATAATTTGGGCAAATGTCTGTGATTTAAATCACAGCATGAAATGTAGCAGTGAGAATAAAAGTTCGCAGGAATTGATTATAGTATTCAGTTTCAAAGTAAATGTACAAACCCCCCCCCACAACAAAAAACCCCAAAACCCAAAAAACCCCAAACCAAAAAACCACCCCAGGGTCAAAGCCATTTCTAGCTGTTCCCTGATAATATGCATTTCCAGATGCCAATTATATATTTCCAGAACGAGGTTCCTCAGAATGCAAAACTGTGGCCATTTTCATTAGCGTGAAATATTTGGAAATTAGAACTGTTTTTCACTTAGAGGCAAAAGGAAACCAACTGAGTAACAGCAATTATAAGCAGCAGTTCTATAAATGATATTGGATGCAGCTGGACCAAGAAATGCTGCCCAACAAGGAGGCTACTGGAGTGACCCGGCCCTTCTGCAAAGGTTTCTCACTTCTGGTCAGGCCACAAGATATGAATCCAAACCAGCATCCCCGGGCCTGCTTTACAGTGGTCCTAAACACAAAAGTGAGCCACAGCAAGATCGAAACCCAAAGTACTGGTTCATATCAGGAATTATATAGGACTAACCTTTTATTCTGAGAGTTGGCTCAGATTTTAATTCATTTATCTATTGGTTTTCAAAATGTATTCATTCAATAATTATTAAGCTCTTACCAAGTCAGGTGCCCAGTAGTATATAAGATAAAGGGAGTACAAAATAAATGCTCAGAGTTTAGAGGTAGAAGTGGTTATAATACAATGTGGCAAGCACTGAGAAAGTGTTACTAAGAGAGCTTGGAAGGATAAGTACATTGAACACTACCTGGTAGTGGGGGCAAGACCCCATAGAGGAGGCTACCTCGAGGTCTTTTTTTAAATTTATTTTTATGTTTTAAATATTTTATTTATTTATTTGACAGAGAGACACAGCAAGAGAGGGAACACAAGCAGGGGGAGTGGGAGAGAGAGAAGCAGGCTTCCTGCTGAGTAGGGAGCCTGATCCCAGGATACTGGGATCATGACCTGAGCTGAAGAAGGCAGATGCTTAACAGCTGAGCCACCCAGGTGCCCCTACCTCGAGGTCTTTAAGCACGTATAGCAACTCCTCGGCGAGACTTGGTGGGGAAAAGCATGCCTCATTTGCAGAGAGCAGACAGTTTGGTACAGTCAGAACACTGGGTAGTTGGGCAGATATGACTGAAGGGAAAAGAGAGATGAACAGATGCCTGATTGTGAGGGACTTTCTATGGGTTTAAAGAAGGAAATAATTCACTGGCTTTAAGCAAAGCTGTGATGTGACTAATGTACATCTTGGCCACAGGATGGACAGGGCGTGGAGGAGTGAAGGTTTTCACAAGACCCCAGCTGAGAGAGAGGTGGTTAGCAGGCACGAGCGGCAGGGCTTGATTGGCGAGTACTCGAGTGTGCAAGGATAAGTGAGACAGAAGATGCAGGAGGAAGGGCTGGGAAAACTTGTGCCAGGTGTGGGGACCCTGAAGTGCCTGAGAAGACGCCAGGTCACCATGCAGTGGATGGCTCCTGTGCCCCTGGCCTTACGCTGGAGGTACAAAGACAAGTAAGACCTGATCTGGAGGAACTTGGAGTATGGCTGTGAAACAGAAGCATTTCAGTAGAACAGGGAACATGAAGTGGACCTTCCCAGAAAGCATTTGGAAATGTGCACCTGGAGTTTAGGAGAGAGGTCTGGAGGCAACACAGATTTGTAAACCAAAGTGTTCGATTCATATTTACATGATCACATTTACATGAATGGATAGTTAAATCCAAGGGTATAGAGGATATTGCCCAGGGACGGTGAGTAGAGGGAACTGAACTCTGGAACATCAGCATTTAAGAGGAAGGTGGGAGAAGATGAAGAGCCTCCAAGAAGCTAAGATAAGGAAAGGTCAGAGAGGTGGGAGCCAAGGGCAAAGAAGGTTTCAAGAAAGAGTAGATGGCCAAGTCAGGTGAGAGCAGAAAAAACGCCCACAGGATTTGACAGCCCTGTTACTGGAGACATAAGACAGCGCAGAAGCTGGAAGCCAGGTGTCACATGTGTTTAGGAATAAATGCACAGTATTCTTCCTAGAAGTTTGGCTCTAAAAGGTATGAAAGAGGGAAGGGGAGGCTGCAGGAAGAAGAGCACGAACACACAGAAGAGCAGTAGACAGAGGATGTAGGGCCAGTGAGCTTTTTTTAAAATAAAGAATTCAGAATATTTAAATACCAAAGAGAAGGAGCTAATGGAAAGTTTAAAAGTATGCAAAGGATTGATCCTAAATCATGAGAACTGTAGTCCTTATTAGCAACAAGAAACCTTATCTTTGCATATCTAGAAAGGTGATGAAAATGTTAATCCCAGGGCGCCTGGGTGGCTCAGTTGGTTAAACCACTGCCTTCAGCTCAGGCCATGATCCCAGGGTCCTGGGATCGAGCCCCACATCGGGCTCCCTGCTCATGCAGGAAGCCTGCTTCTCCCTCTGCCTGCCGCTCCCCCTGCTTGTGCTCTCTCTCTCTCTCTCTCTCTCTCTCTCTCTCTCTCGCTCTGTGTGTCAAATAAATAAAATCTTTAAAAAAAAAATGTTAATCCCATCACTACACCTTTCTTTTCATTCTTTCAAATAATAACCTCCCCCACAAGAAAGAAAGGAAAAGAAAGGAAGCTCCTAAGTCTTTTTTCTTCAGCCAGCTTAACATTTTCCCCACCCTGCTTTTAACTCCTGGAGCCGATTGTGACTGTGGCTGGGAGTCTGTCCAGAGAAGCAGCATCCGTGTCACTTGGGAACACAATAATGCAATTTTTAGGCCCCAACCCCGATCCACCGAATCAGAACCTCCGGCTGTAGGTTTAACAAGCCCACCAGGTGACTCTGATGTACACTCATGTTTGGGAACCACTGACAGAGGAAAGTGATCCAGGGAGGAGAAGCAACACCTGACAGGTTGCTGGGCATGTGGAATAGGCAAACTCCTGCTGAAGTACACAATGGGGGGGTGTGTGTCACTGCAACGTTTAGCTCTTAATCTGTCAGGGCAATCTGTTTCAGACAAATGAAGCACTGGCTTAACCAAAAACTGCATAATTAAAACTGTGCTGATAATTACTGGCCCATTTCATCAAGCCATCTACCCAAAGAATTTTAAATCTGGGTGGGACTTTGGGAATCTTTTAGGATGCCAAGTAGTACAAATGAAAGAAACAGTATGCCACACACATCCATACCTGCTATTCCAAGATGGATTTTGAGAGTCTCTCCACCTTTTCTGTCTTCTTCCAGAGATTCAGATTCACCAGCAATTGGTATAGACATCGATGTAGAAGGAGGCCTATAAATAAATATTTCTAAGGATCAGAACTTGATTGATGGGTGAATCTGAAAGCTTGAAATAGTGTTAAAGACTGGTTGTGGAATCAGTATACAGCCTTAGTAAGGTGCGTGCTTAATGTTCCTCTGAGGGTGAGCGTAATAAAAATCAACAAATACTGTACGAGCTTCCTCAAAACTGGAATGAGATTCATGGTGGGGAGGGGGAGAAAGGATTTTTACTCAACAGAAAATGTGAGACCAGAAACGACACTGCCTTCACAGAGTGTGGGAAAGAGAGAGAGGCTCTGTCCTTGCCTCCCCAGCACCATCAGTGGAGGATGCTTCGGCCGTCAACTCTCGGACAATGCAGGGAGATAGACGAGGGGCATTAAGCCCCTTTGTGCCTGAGGTTGTGAGGTTCCATCATGCTTCCTGCTCCAGTGCCTAAGCTCTTTTGTTGACTCTGCTAACTTCTTATAAATTGTCCCCATGGTTTTATCTTCTACCTTCTCTGTAAACAGTTCACCTGCCCCAGGGGGAGTCTGTAAAGAACTCCAGTTGTTCAGATTTGCTTTTTGGGCTGGATTCTCTGGGGTAGGTGATGGATATGTTTTCATTGGCTAATTCAAGGCTCCTATCTCCATGTGGAAGCTGTGAAGCAGGGAGGGGCCAGTTTGAGTTCTAACAAGAATTTTTTTTTTTAAATAAAACATCCCTAACCTATTAAGGTTGATAGTCTAGAAAAAAAAAAAAATCACATCCTCCTAGAGACTATCCCTGGGTGACCTGAGGTAAAATAGGAAGGTGGCTGAAGGGATAGTGAAACTGACCCACTATGTGGCAATTCTCTTTTTGTTATTTTGTATTTATTGAAATTCAAAATGCACTAGCAAAGTACCTCCAAAATAAAGATCACTAAAATAAACTAGAAAAGTATTTCCAAAATAAAGATGACCAAAAATTAGCCTGAGTATATTAGTTACCTCTTGTTGCTGTAACACATTACCACAAACTTAGAGACTTAACACAAATTTATGATCTTACATTTCTGTAGGTTAAAGGTCTGACATATGTTCCACTGGACTAAAATCAAGGTGTTGGCAGGACCACATTCCCCCCTGGAGGCTTTGGGGGAGAATCTCTTCCCTTGTCTTTTCCGGCTTCCAGAGACCACCTGCATTCCTTAGCTCATGGCTCCTTCCTCCATCTTCAAAGCCAGAAAGGTCCCATCTCTAACTGTTCTGTATTTCACATTTCCTCTGACCCTGATACTTTTCCAATTACCTTTTCCCTTGAATTATACCTCTTCCCTTTAAGGACCCTTGGGATTATATTGGGTCCATCTGGAGAACCCAGAATAATCTCCGTGAGGTCAGCAGATTAGTACCTTAATTCCACCTGCCACCTTATTCTCCTTTGCCATTTAACCCAACATATTCACAGGTTCTGGGGATTGGGACGTAGACATCTTGGGTGGGGGGCTAATGCCACATACCACAGATTAAATACACCACAGTTTAATATTTTCGTGACAGTTCAATAATTGTCATTCAGCTGCCTTAATCTACAGAATTTATCTTTTTAATCTATATAAAACATTAAACCGGCCAGATGCAACAGTAACAAAAAAATGTAAAGCAATATAAAACAAATTGTACATTTCAAAGTAGTGGTTATTAGTGTGCGTATGTTCATATATGTATATATAAAATTATACATGTATGTATACATGTGTAAATGTGAATATACTGTATGTGTACATATGCTATGTGGTAATTCTTAAATTCTTATATTATCTCAATAGAATTCTCAGGCTACTCAGATCCTTGAACAGGCATTTAAGATTGCCATTAAAACTATTTAATTTATAGATTATTTCTATCATATGATCTCCTAAATTCCAAAATTGCACATCCTGTTGGGACATTTTCTTTTTTAAAAAAAATCTATCATCTCTCTGTCCATCTATCTAGAACATGAATAGGGGTAGGGGTGGGGGGAGGGGCAGAGGGAGCGAGAATCTTACGTAGGCTCCACACCCAGCGCAAGCCCAACATGGGGCTTGATCTGAGATCAAGGATTCCGAGATCATCACCTGAACCCAAATCAAGAGTTGGATGCTTAACCTACTGAGCCACCCAGGCGCCCCCTCTTGGGATACTTTCAAGTATGTGTCCTGCCAGTACGCTGAGGTCAATATATCCCCAACTGAAGCCATCTTCTTTTTCCCAAATCTGCTTTCTTCTTGTACTCCCCAACTCTGAATGCCGTCATGGTCCATAAAGTAACCAAAACCAGAATCCTAGATGCAGCCTCTGGGTCCTCCCTACTTGCATTTCTCCATAACCAATCAATTTCCAAATCACACAGATTCTCTCCTATTTTTCCTATTCATCATCTCTTCTCAGCCTCCACTGATTACTTCAGTTTGGTCTTCTGTGTACCTTATGACCACAAAAGTCTCCTCGCTAGTCGGCCTCTGTCCGTGCTACTTTCACTGTGGTCCTTCTGAAGTGTGCATGTGAACATGTTATTCTTTGATTTAAAACACCCATAGCTCCTTCCAGATAAAGCTCAAACTCCTTAGAATGGTAATACAAGGCCTTCTGCAGTCTGACTTAGACCTACCTCTCCAATTACCAAAGGTTGGATTTTTAAATAATGTAAAATAGTGGGGGAAAAAAAAAAACCCATGCATTCAATATTCCATAAGAAAAAGTAATATGCAAAACAAATACACTTACAAAGAATGGAGCCTACAGTCACAGTCATTAATCACTGATCGTGACCCACGCTGGCCTGTCCTATCTTTTTTTATACCAGGTCCTTTGTTCTTCTTTCACAGGTGGCCTGACTACAGTGTCTCCATCCCTCCACCTTTCAGACCCGTTCTCCAGCCTTCAGAGCTCCTGGCCCGTGGACTCTTCTCTTTCTCCCCCTCTCTCAGTCTCCCTTGGGCTCCACCCTTTCCTGCCTAGGCCTGACTTCAGGGCCATAACCCTTTTAGCAACACCTTGAGTTTGGCACCCCTTGTTCTGTAGTCTCCAAAACCTTGAAGAGCCCCAACCCTGGATAATTTTAGCCTTCTTCATGAACTGCTCAAACACTGGGGCAACGAAGCATTATGGAGAAAATTCATTAACGATGGGGAATGAATGATATTGAGGCAAATTTACAATCTAAAATCTTAGCTGGGCCTTGGCAGCTCTTCTAAGTCTCCCTAGACAACTCAGTCATGTTGAATAAATAATCATTGAGTGCCTAGTAGTGTCAGTTTTTATTCTGTTATCCCTTTTTGTTCTGAAAATGTTTTTGTATACCTTATCAGAAATTGTGTAATATAGCTCAATTACGGAATGAGAGAGATGAAATTTTAATTTCACAGTAATGTTTAGAGTATGTGAAAAATAACCTAAAATGACAATACCACCTACTTGGTGTTCATGCCCTGTAACAATGCCATAAACTCGAGCAAGTCATTTTCTTTTCCTAGAGTGTCTTCACCTACCTCCTCTGCTTCGTAATTTCCTATTCATCCTCTAAAAATTAGCTCCGTGTCACCTCCTCCCCCCCCCACCCCCCCCAGGGGAGACTTTCCTGGCTTTTAAGAAAAAGTAGTTAGGGACTCTCCTCTATGCCTTGAGAGCATCATATGTTCTGTGTCTATCTCCCAAATAAATACTGAATCCTTCAGAGCAGGGACTGGTCTTAATTTAGTTTGGTAAATGTTAGCACATGGTAGACAATCAATGCATATGTACTGAATAAATGAGTGAATCTTGAATCTTGGGACCCTGGACAAATTAGTTCCTTAACCTCTGAGCCTCAAGGTCCTCACTTAAGAAATATGGATAATGCATCACAGAGTTGTTTCAAGAATTAAACTGGGAGACAATAATAGTCATTAAGTCATTCTGACAAATCTTAATTTCCTTCTAGAATATGAATGCTCCAGAGCCCCAGCTACTCAAGAGGATTAGATCATCCTTAGATCTGCATTACCACCAAATTGTCAGGTGCCAGTGTAGCATATAATTTTTCTCTTGAAATATTCTTTTCCTTTATTAGTACTAGTGGTTCGCTTTCTTTTCAGCCAGTTTCATTCTTTTACAAGAGTTGGTGGCTATTTGATGAGTTGCAGAGAACTACAAAACAGAGTTCAGGGCAGGTAGTTAGGAGCCTGACTTACCAGCTGTCTTAAGCATAAATACAGGCTTATGGTATGACATTTTGTCTTTCAGAAAAATAATACAAGCCATGTTACAGATCCTCTGCTCATAAAATACCAAGCTAGAATTTAAAGCTGAGAATGCCAAAGATCTGCTGTATTCTTGTTAGTTTCTCTAGTAGGTTTTTAAAAACTTTGTATCATGAAAAACTCAAAGACAGACAAAAGCAGAGAGAATAGTAGAATGCACCTCCCCAGCAGTTAGTTACATACATCTAGGTCTTACAGACAAATAGTCATGTCACTCAATTGCTTTGTGCCTTAGTTTCCTCATCTGTAAGATGAGAACTTGGATTATATAATACTTTTAAAACTGGCTTTGTGAAGCTCCCTTAGAGACTTCAGCGGTACTAAGGTACTCTACCTTTTTGCCCCTCAACAGAAGAATGTGATATACTGGGATTCATCATACATTTGAGCAGAAGGACTTTGTGGCTAAATATTCTGAAAAAAAAAATCACTGGACTAGACAACCTCCAACATTCTTTTCAGCTCTAAAGCATTGTGATTTTACATTTCTGATATATATTGAAATACAACCTAATAAAAATAATTTACTTTTTCCATCAGTCGTTTAAACACTTTCCTATTCAGTCCATATTCAGCATGTGCAAGTGCATGGATGTGTGAGAGCTGCCCCTTTTCCACTGATATGTGTACAATTTCAAATATTCAGAGAAAAGAGAAAATAAATATTGGGGGTTTGTTTTTCCCAAGAAATACTTTTATGTATCTTGGGATTAGGTAAGGTCTGTTTATTCTAATGAGTTATAAACATCTTTCTCTATAAATATAAACTCTAGACTGTCAGATTTACATTCCTGGAGGTAATATAGAACATAAGATGATCTATTTTTGAGCTCTTTAGTATTTGAGTTGCACAAATAGATAAAATGGTACAGAAAGGGCCAGAAAGGGAATATTCATAAGTTCACGAGAAGGAATGATGAATTCCTTTTCTTCTACTTAGTTTTGCTGCTCATTTTCTCATTTCACCCTAAGCTGATTCCACTAGAAAAACACTGTTAGCCTAAGAAGCCAAATACAGTATAGCAAAAATTGTTTAGTCCTAAGAGAGCAGGATGTAAAGAAATAAGCCAGGAAATTATGGTTTGAGAGATGACAACACAAGAAGGATAAGTTATAGTAAAACGCATAGTTTAATCAATAATTGATTTTTACAAAAATATGTATTTTCATCTTTACAAAACACTGTAAATAGGGAACTATATAGACATTGCTATTAAAAATTTTTTTAAAAATTTATTTTAGAGTGAGAGAGAGTGCAGTGGGAGGGGCAGAGGGAGAGGGAACCATATGGACATTGCTATTAAAAATTATTTTAGGGCGCCTGGGTGGCTCAGTTGGTTAAGCGACTGCCTTCGGATCAGGTCATGATCCTGGGGTCCCGGGATCGAGTCCTGCATCGGGCTCCCTGCTCAGCTGGGGGTCTGCTTCTCCCTCTGACCCTCTTCCCTCTCGTGCTCTCTGTCTCTCACTCTCTCTCTCAAATAAAAAAAAAATCTTTAAAAAAATTATTTTAAAAATTTATTTTAGAGTGAGAGAGAGTGCAGTGGGAGGGGCAGAGGGAGAGGGAAAGAGATAATCTTAAAGAGACTCCCTGCTGAGCGCAGAGCCTGACACAGGGCTCAATCCCACAACTCTGAGATCATGACCTGAGATAAATTCAAGAGTCGGACACTCAACCAACTGAGCCACCCAGGCGCCCCTGGACATTACTCTTAAAAACATCAAGTTGATGCACAGGGAAATAATTAAGGTTTTCTTTTCTAAATATATTTTTTTTCTCAGATCTTTAAATAATATATAATTAACTTTGTTTTTCAATTGTCTTCAGGAATTGCCTTTGCCCATTCCATTCACTCTCCTACGCTCTGAGAGGACTTTTACACATCTTTCCTCAAACCCCCACCTCCATCTTTCCCATCCCCACTCTTGTGATCATCTTGTTTCCTATTTCACTAAGAAATCAGGAACAATTTGAAAGCAACTTCTATTTGCTTCCACTTTTCATACACCTGATCTGAAGCTACATTCTCTGCCTTTATTCCTTTTGACAATCCAAGGACACTGTCTAGCAACTGTTGTTTTTCTCTTCTGTACCATCTCTCTCCTTCTCTCTTGAACCATTCATATCAGTACACAAATATACTGAACTGTGTCCCATCTTAAAACAACCCCAAAGACCTGCCTTGACCCTGTATCCTCTTTTTATTTGTAACTCCATCTTCTGTTCCTATTTTTGCAGCAAAATTCCTCATAAGAATTGTTTATATTGTCTCCAATTTTTCTCCTCCCAAACCCTCTTTGACTCACTCCAGTAAGGCTGCGGGCTCAGAGCATTCTACCACAGTGCTTGACAAAGGTACCAATGGTCTCTGTACTGCAGAGCCAAAGGGCAATTCTCAGTCCCCATCTTCGGTGATCCACGTCCATGGGGTGGGACAGAGCCGGTTACTCTCTCCTTTTTGAAACACGTCCTTCACTTGGTTTTCAGGACGGTCCTCTCCTTTGGTTCCTTCCTCCTCTCTCAAAGTTGTTCCTTTGCTGGTTCTTCCCGGTCTCCCCAGTCTCCAACACACTGGAGTGTCCCACCCCTCAGTCTTTTTATACTCACTCCCTCTGGGTCATTTATTCAAATGTCACGGCTTTAACTACTCTCTATGTGCTGAAGATGTCATGATTTCCAAATTTGTATCTCCAGCCTGGGCCTCCCCACTGAACTCTGTAGTCATATCCAACTGTCTACTTGAAGTGCCTGGCTGGATATTAAATAAGGATCTCCAATGTAACATGTCCAACACCCAAGCTGCCAACCCCCAACCTGTTCCTCTTAGAGGCTCTCTCATTTCAATAAATGAGTTACTCAGGCCCTAAACCTTGGACTACTGAAATAGCATCCTAATTCATCTACCTATTTCTGCCCTTGCTCCCATCGTTGTTCCCACAAATTGTCTATTCTCTACCTAGCAGCCATAAGTCAGATAATTTTATTCCCCTGCTCTAAACCCTCTAGTAGCTTTTTATCTCAGGTTATAAGTGGCTGAGGTGACTCTTTACCATCTGATCCCATTTCCTATCCCCCTCCTCCTCATTCTGTCTGGTCTAGACATACCGGTCTCCTGGCAGCCCCGTGGACATACCAAACACACTTCTCCCTGAAGGGCTTTGTCCCTGTTCCCTCTACTTCAAATGCTCTTTCTCCAAATATCTGCATGGTGTGCTCCCCACTTCCTTCAGGTCTCTGCTCAAATACCATCTGCCAGGGAAGACTTTCATCTTGACTACTCTCTATAGAACAGCAAACCTTCTCCCCACCATGCCCTCCTACCCTCCATTATTTTTCTCCAAAGCACTCATCGCCATCTTTATATTATACATTAATTTCTTAGCTTGTTGTTTTCCTCTTAAGAATATATGCTCCAAGAGGTCAGGGACTTGGTCTATTTTTTTTTTTTTACTGCTGTTTCTCTAGTGTCTAGAATAGGGCCTAGCACATGGTAAGGCACTTAACAGGTATTTGTTGAAGAAATGACTAAGTCCACAGAGATCAAATTCAAAAATTTAATTGTATAGTTTCACCCAAAACTTGAAGATGATGAAAGATCTACAGCTTAAATAATTTTAGAGTGCGAGGAGCTCGTTTGGCAAAGGGTTAATAGTAATTTCTATGTGGTCAGTCTCCTAGGAAAAGAACAGTTCCTTCACTCGTAAACACTACAAGTTATGAATGTAAACATTTAGACCAAAAAAAAATGACTATTATACTTTCGGATAAATAATTCATTTACTGAGCACCAACTTACGTTTTAAAACACGGGTCACCAGACATCAGCTGCATACTGATCAAAACCTGGGTATTAGAAAAAGAAATATGATTATAAAAGTTCCCTTGAGAGGAGAAGCCATGTTCTGCTAATCCACGCATCCTCCACAGAACCTAGGCTAGTATTTCCTATTCAGAGATTATTCAATAAAGCGATTGCTGAATTGGGTTACATCCAGTATTAAATTGCTGCTTTACACAGACCATTTTTCAACATTCAAAACTTGGTAATGGCAAGTATCGGCGTGGGAAAGTGGAAATGGAGAGCCGGTGCTGTGACGGCCCCGCAGGTGTGTGCTGCTCGTGTGGTCTCCTGTATGTCTTTCCTCCCAGATTCCTGTGGTGCTGAAGTGTCTGGAATGTTTCCCTCCAACGTGCCATGTTGACCTTCAAGGTGGGGCCTGCAGTGGCTTGTGAGAGCAGAATGCTTCTGGGCTTTTTCCAACTTTAGAACAGAATTTAAAGCTTTGCTAATGCTTTCTGAAATGTTGCTCTTCTCTACTTGCTGACGGTCTCTTTAAGACTCAACCGTAGGATCTTGTTATGTTCTTCCGGGAATAATAACAGTAATAGCAGTAATAACAACAACATTAACAGCAATCGTGATTTGAGACTTATGTGCCAGGCGTAAGCTAAGTGTTGTATACTGCATGATTTCATTTAGTGTTCAAAACTCCTAGGAGAGCCTGATACTTTCCTTTTAAGCTCAGGAGATGAAGTGATATTTTCAAGATCAGGTAGCTAATAAAGGGTAGAGCTGAGATCTGAAACTAGGACTGCATAATACTGAAACTCATGGTCTTTATGAAGAAGAGAAAATTTATATACGTGCATATTTTCTACTAGTGGCTGACATGTATCCTAATAGAATCTCATTTCTTTTTTATTTCTTCACCCGAGTGCCTCCACTACTGTTCCTCTTCTCTCTGAGCGCGACACTTATTAAATGTGGGACCTGGGCCAGTTGTGTGGGCATCCTTATCCCTTCGGCTTCCAAAGAACTCCACAGTCTGGTTTCTAACTACATCAAAACAGCACTCTTGAATACCTGGAATGTCTCAGAAGGGATGGAGATGGCACATGCAGCTTTTAAGACATTGTGTGGGGAAGCAGAACAGAGAGAGTGGGATAGTGGTTGGAGGAGGTGAGAAGTGGTTTTTGTTTGTTTTAAATACAGTGACTATGAGAGCTGTTTCTTCATATGTTAATGAGGATGATTCACTGGAGATAGAGATGATTAGGAGAAGGGATAGTCCAAGCTGCAGAGCTCATGATTAGGCAAGCTTTGGACTCTAGCACCTAAGAGGAAGGAGTGACTTCTGACAGGGAGAGGGACATTTCCTTCATTGTAATGGGGGCAAAAGGGGTAACAGGGCTGGAGAGACAGGAAGAACTGTAAATTCTGCAACAGGAAGACGAGGGAATTTGAATTTAATGACTTCTGTTTTCTCCATAAAGGATAAAGTAAGACCACTAGCTGAGAACAAGGGTGGTGTGTGGAGATACGAGGAGAAAGAAGGTATAAAAAAAGAGTATTTAGAAACCGGGAAAGGACGCTTACAAAGGAAGTACAGTTGCTTGATGGTGGTGAGCAAGACTGTAGGAACGGCAGCTATATGGTGGTGTGATCTTCTCCAGCAACGTTCGGCAACTAGGGTGTAGGCCCAGAGAGGTCAGCTGAATTTGACTGGGGTCAGGGACTCACCAGGGGACAGCAATGAGGGAGATGGGCAAAGCAGCAAGGAGTGTTTTTAAGCATAGGAGAATCGTGGATTCTGGAATCTAAGCTGGATAAAGAGGGAAGTGGAAGCAAGTAGAGGCTGGCAGAGAGTGAGAGAACAGTAAGGTGAAGGACAGCGAAGTGAGGAGGAGACCAAGAGGACTGGAAACATAAGAGACAGTAGTAGCAGAGGGGAATAGTGTGGTGAAGTTTCTAGACATAGAAAAGTCTAGAGTTTGGGGGGAAGAACTGAGATGAAGAAAAAGAAAAGGTTGCTGGTGAAGGGCAGTATAAGGAACGGAGAGGCCTCAGGCACATAAAAGATTAGCTAGAAGGAAAGAATGCATAGAGAAGACAGTCCACAAGGATAGATCACCCACCAGATGGTGAAGCCACCAAAACATGGTGACAGAAGGGATGGAAAGAGAAACTGTGAGCTAGGAGCTAAGTCACTGATGAGCAGGAGAGAGAAGGTTACTAGGTGGCCAGGCGATGATACAGCTCAGGCAGGAAGAGTGTGAGAGCTGAATGGTGTGATCTAAAAAATGGTAAGTTATGGGGTGTCTGAGTGGCTCAGTCAGTTGAGTGTCTGACTCTTGGTTTCAGCTCAGGTCATGATCTCAGGGTTGTGAAATCAAGCCCCGTATTGGGCTCTGTGCTCAGTGGGGAGTCTGCTTGAGATTCTTTCTCTGTCCCTCCCCCTACTTGTGCGTGTACGCTCTTGCACTATAAAGTTAAAAAAAAAAAAAGAGTAAGTTCTTTGTAGGACCAAGTGGGAGAGATGGTGTGAAAGGATCAATGGGGAGCCAGAAGGAAACTACTCTAGGAGCTGGGCCTAAGGAATGGGGTGAGGATGGGGGAGTCTGAAATTAGAAAGTTATTTCAATTCCCAATGAAAACACTGTAATTCATAGAAGGATTACCACTCTTCTTATGCTGCAAATATGAAGAAACTGAATTTAGTGGCCTGTTTGGGGTCAGTCTAAGAATGAAGAGCACAGTCTGTTCCTTCTGAGTCTGGTGCTTAGACAGCATGATAACATGAAAAGACCAATGACCACATGGCAGAAGATTCGCATTCTGGCCTCTGCTCTGCCCCCAATGACTTTAGCGAGACACTTAACTTGAGTCTCGGCTTCTTTATCTGGAATCTACCCCACTGACCCAACACTGTTTATGTCACACAGGTATATGCAAGTGCTCTGAAATTTTTTGTTATATTTACCGAAAACAAAGTTTGAAAATGGTAGGTATAGGATAACTCTTTGCTCCACTAACTTCTGACCACCCAGTTTTTATTCTGAATTATTTTCCTTTCCTATCATTAGATAAGCTACCATCATGGGGAAACCTAATTAAAATACAGCAGAATGTATGTCCAGTGAGTCTTACCAAGTACAAGGCACTTTACAAACATTTTCTCAACTGGTCTCATTTAATACCCCCAGCAACTCTCTGAAGTGTGGCCAGGAGAATAGGAGGCTGCTGATGGTACTTGGAAACAACAGGGCAGATGCCTAAAGTGAGTTCCACCTGTCACTTTACTAGTTACAGGAAAGCCCAGTGACTTCTCTGTGTCCACCACAGCTGCTTGGGAAGTCACTTTTTGGGACTGATTAACATTTTTAAGGTATTCACTCATCATGCTCCTTACTCTCAATGAGCCCTTATGCTGTAGCAGTTGTATGTACTATTCCCTGAATGTTCACAGCTCCAGAAACACCTTAGGATCATGAAGGTGAACATTTGTTAATTTTCACTGCTTCTGTGACTGGAGTAGCTTTCCTCCCTTGATGGTGAGTGAGTGTTTCAGTGGTGTGGTCAGCTTATGATCTCAGTACCGTTTCCCATCTTGCCCTTGGCTGTATATACCCATGCTTATTTAAAGGCAGAGATTCTCATTTGTTGACATGCAAATCTCAAAACGTGCTTACTTTAAGAATGGAATTATCCTGTCTTGTATTTTTGGTATCATAGCCTTCCAGTAAACAGCGACGAGTGGTATTTCCTGATCCAGCAAACTCTGCCAGGTTTAGGTCTGCAAAGCCCAGCTATGAAAAGAAAGGGAATTATATTAATAGAATATCTACTAGGTTTCTATCATATTCTCCTTAAAATAAATATTCAATCCATGTTCTAGACAAGTTTTCTCAAAGTTCAGTTATTTGCAATTTTGGCCATCTTAACAATATCTGCTCTATTATTTGCTTAATGTGTGCCTTTAAATTGGCTTGCTTCTTTTGTGAAAATGTATTACCTATTCTATTCTTGTCTTAAGCAATGCGATCTCTGAAATCACAGATTTGATGTGCTTAATATATATATTTTTTCTGTACACACTGAAATACATAACTATTAAAGTAAAAATAATGTTTATCAAACAATTAAAATCATTGCAAGTAGCAGTGGTACTCACCCCACACTGTGGGAAATAGCAGCAGACCAATCATGATCATTTGCATATGCATAAAGAAAACTGATTAGACATTCTTCTCCCTATTCTGATTCTGGCTCCATTCCCAGTTAACCACTGGTGACTGCAGACAGTTGCAGGTTATTAAATTCTTACTTTCCATGCAAGAAATAGAATGATTTAAGTTTTCTTTGGTATAAGCCCCTTCTCCTTCACCACCTTCCATAACATTTGTCTTGCTGATAACACTTAAGCTAAATCCCTTTTTATGAAACCTTTTCCCCTTCCCCAAAGCTGTGCCCCTCAACAACCCTCTATGCTGCTCTCCAAAAGTTTAGCTCAAACCTGTTCCTCCTTCTCATTACTACCCATGTTCAGTCCCCATTTTCTGCAGCTACCGAAGTCGTCTTGCGCTCTGTCCTCTGATGTTGTTTAACCCCTATTTCTCGTTTCCAAGCGGTACAAGAAATATGCCCTATTTTTTTTTTTACAAAGTCTGTTCTATTCTACATGACTAAATGCACATGGAGTCTTCTATTAAAAACAACAAAAAATGTTTTTGATTTTGCAATTAAGCACATCTCCCTGAATGCCTAATAAAAAGTACTAACCGTTTCAAACACTGCTATGATTTTAAGCTGCCTGCTTTAAGATTTTAAGACACATACTGGGCACATAAGAAGGCATTTAAGATGAAGATTTTAACTAAAGGCTGGAGCATTATTTTAGTAGCCTTTAACTGGTACAAAAAGGATGGAGAATAAGAACTTACAGACCAGGTGAAAGGCCATGATTCCTAAATGCAGTAAGTCAGAACACATCAGCCACAGGTGACATCTACCTAATTTTCACAGGGTTACTCTGGCCTTACTGCCTTTTAGGGGTCCAGCAGATCAGCAGAAAAGCCTGGATGTATCTAGGGCAAAGCCACATACCAATAAGCATGTGAAGATTCATGGGGCTATGTGATTACACATCATCTGAAGGCTGTATTTCCTACATTACCCCTTCCCTTTAAACCTCTAGCACCTCCTTTCCATCCAAACTCTCTGCTGATGCCTTGCTTCCTAATTCACTCAGAAGCTAAAAGCAATCAAAAGAGCACTTAACATCCAGAAGCTCTTACTGCTGGCCACACGCACTCACCTGCCTGCAGCTGTACCCTGCGTGCTGTAGGTGAACTGGCTGTGCTCTGATCCGAGGCCAACTACTCTCCCCCAGCCTGCTCAAGTTCACCGCTTCAGGAATTCCTCCCCCTCTTCTGCACTCTCAAGTTTCCTTCTCTGTCCAACCATTCCCATTAGCACACAAACATGCCAGTTTTTACCATCTTAATGAACAAAAGAAAACCTCATCCCACATCTCTCTCCAGTCTGTTGGACTACTTTTCTGCTTTTATAGCAAAACTCCTTGCAAGAGTTGTCTACGTTGACTGTCTATGGTCCCTTCATCCTTGGCCACCACCTTGTCAACTTCACTTCCCCATTCTCTTATTTACTCTCCTGGCCACAATGTCCTTTTCCTTGAATATGCCAAGACCGCCCCAAGGCCTTTAACACTTATTGTTCTTTTGCCTGACCCATTCTTAGATCATCTTGTAGCTTTCCTCCTTACTCCATTCAGGTCTATGTTCACATACCACCTAAGAGGCCTTCCATGACCATTCTTAATGCCCTGACTCCTCCCTTCCTCCCCTACCCCGTCCGCCTTTACCCCTTGCCTGCCTTGTTCCTCTCCTTAGTAGTTGTCATCATATCACATACATACACATCTCATATTTATTTTGTTTACTGTCTCCTCCAACCTTCCATAAGCATGTAACAGCGCCAAGAACAATGCTGCCATATGGTAGGCAGTTAATACGTATTTGTTGAGCAAAAACTGGCCCATTGGCTTACCATCCACCATTAGTATGCTGGTATTACAGTGTCACCAAGCATAATTAAAAAAAAAAACAATCTGATCAGTCACCATTAAGAAAGCATATTAAAAGGTGGGGTACGTCAATGTGATGTTTTAGGCTGCAGGTTACCAATGAAGGCTGTGATGTTTCAGGCTGAAGGTCAACATTTACTGAGCACCTTTTATGTGCTAGGCTCTGTTCTGGACACTGCGAAACAGTGATGAACAGGACAGATCAGGACTTGGTGAGGCACTAGAGAGTCCATATTTCCTCATGATTTTCTCTTTGGCTTTACTGAGATAACAGTCTCATTAAAACGGTGTATCTACATAGCTACTAGTTATAGCTGTGGTAGATATTACTTCATTTGGCAAATAATTCTGAGCATCTACATTTCAAGGAACATTAGGCATTGGGAATGTAAATCATTCCTAGTCTCAAGGAGCTCATAGTTAAATGAGAGAAGATAGAAAGAAAATACATTCTTATAAAAAAAGTTTAAGTGCTGGGATAGAAGAAGGCACAGTTACAAGACAGAAAAGAAAAGAAAATTTCTCAGGGGAAGGGATGACTAAACTGTCTAATGCTGTATGAGTTGACAGGACAAGGGAAGGCGGAAGCACATGCATAACAGGGAAAATATCAAGTTATAAGGCAAAGAGGCTAAAATAGCATGGTACACTCCAGGAAGTTTCTGAGGGCAGTAAGTCTGAAGCGTAAGAATAAGTGAGTGTGAGCATTCACAGATGGCGTCCAAGATGGGTCTAAATGCTGGGTTAAAGACTTTTCATTTCATTTTCCTTGACAGGGACAGGCAATAGATAGCTGCTGAAGGACTGAAAGTGGAGGAATGATCATGTTTGAATTTCAGAGTGATCATATGGCAATAGTACAGAGGATGGATGGAGGGAGAAATCAGAGGCAGAGAATAAAAGACAGGAGGCCAGTACAGGTTTTAAATAAGAAATAATGAAGGCATAACCTATGGCACTGGTCTTGTGAATAGTGAAGGCATAACCTATGGCACTGGCCTTGCGAATAATGAAGATATAACCTATGGCACTGGCCTTGTGAATGGAGAGAAGGGATGGTTTTTAAAGGAGAAGGGAGAAATCAAGATTTGTCAATTGCAGCAGACCCTGTTTTTTGCCTCCCCACCATCGTCCGATGTTATAATATTCCTTGTTAGCAGAGCCCTGATTTTATTCAAGTGTCCACCCTTAGCTCATCCATGTGCAAAAGGAAAGTGGCCCAACCTCTAGCTCATTGTTAAACTGTGATTAGTCTAAGGTAGCCATGGCAATCCATTCCTATTGCCCATGACTGGTATAGGAATGGGCATATGATCCAGTTGTGGCCAATGAAAGGTATGGGGAAATCCTCTGAGGGCTGACTAGGAAAAGTTTTCTCACTCAAAATAGAAAAAAAGAAAGCCATTTGTGGAGAAGCAGCTGGATTTTGTCATATGTGAATGTGTGGACTAAAAATCCACCTGGTGACCATGAGAAGAGCTAGGCAAGGATAAAGTCATCACACAGAGAATGGAAGAATGAAAAGAGAAAAGTAACATGAGTTCTTGATGATGTCCTTCAGCCAGTGGCTTAACTAATCCTGGAGCAGCTCTATCTCGCATCTGCAGCTCTGTTTCATATCTACTTGCTTTGTGAAATTAAAAAAAAAAACCAAACCTCTAGGTGAGGAGGGTATTCTGTTACTTGTAGCAAAGAGCATCCTAACTGACACTGCAACCAAGTACTTTTAAGGAGTTAGGCAGACTTGATGGTTAAGCTGGTGTCCTGGCTCAGATGACTGAATTGATGGAGATACCATTAGAGACTGAAAATAAAAGAGGAGTATGTGCGTTTCTGGCAGTATTACTAATTCCTTCTATTTAGCAAAAAGGTGAGCACACTAATTACTAGTAATTCCATATAGCTAGTAAAAGTATAAAGGAGAGTAGTAATCATGTACTACAGAATGCTAAGAGAGCACAGAGGAGAGGCCCTATTCCACTGCGGGGGCGGGGGGTGGGGTGAGGGGAGGTGGGATTGGTAATACTTCCCAAGGGAGACTGAATTGGATGCTATTGCTTAATGGAATCAGAGATCATCTTCTGGTAGGGAAGCAGAAATGTAAGAATACCATCCCATAATCAGCTTTTAGAAAGAAAGTGCCTTTAATTTATTGCTGGATCCAACTGTTCAATCTCCAAGTTGCTTTATTTAAAGACAGCCAACTTGCGGGCCTCGGTGGCTCAGTTGGTTAAGCGTCTGACTCTTGATTTCATCTCAGGTCATGATCTCTGGGTTGTAGGATGGAGCACTGCTTCCAGCTCTGCGCTCAACAGGAAGTCTGCTTGTTCCTCTCCCTCTGCTCCCCCCGCCAACCCTGCCGCTTGCACTCTTTAAAATAAATAAAATCTTAAAAAAATAAAAACAGTCAACTTGAATAGCAATTAGAGGAGCAAACCATTTGATTTTTAAGATTATAAATAGCAGTGAGTGATATTAAAAGTTCCAAAAGAGTAAAAGAACATCTACTTACCTTTGCATAAGCTTTTCCACCTTTCAATTCCTGCCAAAGATAAAAAACACTGTAAGGATATCATATGATTAAAGATTTAAAATTAAACATACATCAAATAATCCTGAAGTATTTACATTTTTACATGCTTGCAAATATTGATAGTAAATTTTTTTTTTAAGATTTATTTATTTGACAGAGAGAGACCCAGCGAGAGAGGGAACACAAGCAGGGGGAGGGGGAGAGGGAGAAGCAGGCTTCCCACTGAGCAGGGAGCCTGGTACAGGGCTCCATCCCAGGACCCTGAGATCATGACCTGAGCAGAACGCAGACGCTCAACGACTGAGCCACCCAGGCACCCTGCCATGAACTCTGTCTTGATTGTGGAAATTTATTTTCTGGCAGTTCCCTTTAACTAGAGTTAAAATGAACAGAAAATGTTATGCATCTTAGAAAGAAGCATAACTGGCTACTCTTAAAATCAAATCTTTTTTTAAACGATTTTATGTATTTATTTTGGGAGGGACTTTAGGGGGAGGGAGAGGGACGTGCAGATTCTGTGCAGAGCCTGGCAAGGGGCTCCATCCCATGGCTCCAAGACCAGGACCCAAGCCAAAACCAAGAGTTGGACGCTCAACTGACTGAGCCACCCAGGCGCCCCAAAATCAAATCTTTCTTACCTAAAAACACCTATGTCTTTGCAGGCTAATGGAGGAACAGGATGAATACTCTGAAAATTATATCCTTCGAGCTGTCTCTATTGGGCAAACCACACTTGTGGCTATTGCCAGGGACAAGATGGGGAGGAAATTCACATCGGCTCCTCGCCAGATTGAGGTAAGGAAATTATCTCATCCAAAATTAATACCTCATCTTATTTAGCTTTATTCATCTTTTTCTGTTTATTTTGCATAAGTTAAAAATTATTTGACTAAGTAAACTGATAGTTGTCTAACTCTTGAAACAATACGTAATTTGTTTTAGGTTTTTGTTTTTCTATATAAAAGTAATACACTTGTAGAAAATTTGGAAAGCAAAAGAAATAATAAAGATGCAGAATGAAAATCACCTATAATTCCACTAGTTAGAGCCAAATGTTCGTTAATAATCCTTCATTTCTTCTCCAAGCTTATTTTAACATAGATGAATCATGCTGCTTTCTTCATCCGTCATTAAAAGCTCGTTGCTGGCCCTGTGCTGGCAGTTGGTGACGCTGGTGATCGGTACCCAGAGTCTGTTATACTGCTCTCCCTGCTCTTGTATATGTTTGCCCCAAATGACTCTAGCAGTCCACTCTTCTGGTTGCCCCTGAGTACTTGAGGTAGGAACTTTCTTCTGTAAGCCTTGGCTTTTCCTTCTGTGGGCTGGCAGAGGACAGTGGAGCAGCCGACACACAGAACTACCGTTTGTGCGTGGCTGAAGATGGTGGTGATTTTGTAGCATCCCGGGCACTTCATGTCCATGAAGTAGGAGCTGGGGCTCTGCACCAGGCGCTTCTTCTTGTGCTTCCTCTTCTCCTCTTCCGGGGACGGGTGCAGGAGATCCTTTGCGAGGGGCATGTTCTTGTGGGGAGGTCGTCACCGCCGGAAAGGCTTGATAGTAAATTTCTAATGATCTTAAATCCAACTATTTGGATAGCTACCCTACCCCCATCCCCCAAATTATCAGAATTTTAATTAAGAATTTAACTTAAATCTGAAAAAGGCAAACGGTAAGAAGACAAGCTAATTTTTAATCTATTCTGAAGAAGAAATTGCCAAAAAGTATCCTAGACACACTGTAAGAACCCAAATCACCAAAGAAATGTTAAATTACTTACTTAGTAAGCACATGAATGATATTGTGGAAAGATTTTAAGAAGAGTTGAAACCCCCACCCCAGAGACAACTATTGTTACCAATTTTTTTTTTTAAAAGATTTTATTTATTTATTTGACAGAGACACAGCGAGAGAGGGAACACAAGCAGGGGGAGTGGGAGAGGAAGAAGCAGGCTTCCCATTGAGGAGGGAGCCCGATGCGGGCTCGATCCCAGGACCCTGGGATCATGACCTGAGCCGAAGGCAGACGCTTTAACGACTGAGCCACCCAGGTGCCCCATACTGTTACCAATTTTTAGGAACAGTCCAAAAGATGCCTTTTACTCAAATGTACCATACTACACACACTGTTCCAAATCTTACTTTTTTCTACTATATATATGATATTGTCCACATTAAACATAAATATATATATAAACACATATAATATTGATCCAGTTAGTATAGTAGAATCCCTCTTAACGTGAACAAGACTGGCAAAGTGAAAAATAGTAACAAATAATATACAGGCATCTTAACATTTTATTTGAAATATATAACTGTACACTAATTTGCCAAATCCCTGGATTTAGGACACCACACAGTGGTGAGAATTAAGTGTAAAATATTCAGAACAAAGCCCAGCACACAATATACTCTGTATGTGTCTTTGCCATTACAATTAGGGTCAAAACCTCTTCTCCCTACCCACTTTTAAAAAATTAGTTTTAGGTGTACAACACAGTGATTTGACAATTCTAAACATTATGCAATGCTCATCATGGTACATGTAGTCACCATCTGTCACAATACAACATGATTACAAAATTAGGAACTATATTCCCTATGCTGTACTTTTCATCTCTGTGACTTACTTATCTTATAACTGGAAGTTTGTACCTCTTAATCCCCTTCACCTATTTTGACCTTTCCCTCATCCCCCTCCCCTCTGGCAACCCCCAGTTTGTTCTCTGTACTTATGGTTCTGTTTCTGGCTTTTGTTTATTTTGTTTTTTTGGATTCCACATATAAGTGAAATCATATGGTATTTGTCTTTCTCTGACATTTCACTTAGCACAATACCCTCTAGGTCCATCCATGTTGTCGCGAATGGTAAGAGTTCATTCTTTTTTGTACCATTTCCATCTTTAAAGTGGTGAATTTAAGCTCTCTGCTCCTCCCTGTTTGACAGGCAGCCACATCTTACAGTTCAGTGCCAGCCGTGTCCCTGAGACACAGTGGTGAAGGTCAGAGTAAACGGATTTGGCTTTATTGGGGGCCTAGTCACTAGGGCTGCTTTTAACTCTGGCAAAACAGATACTGTCACCATCAGTGACCCCTTCATTGACCTCAAATACATGGTCTACATGTTTCGGGATGATTCCACCCACAGCAAATTCAATGGCACAGTCAAGGTTGAGAACAGGAAACTCGTCATCGATGGAAAACTTATCTCCATCTTCCAGGAGTGATATCCAGCCAACATCAAAGGGGGTGATGCTGGTGCTGAGTGTGCTGTGGAGTCCACTAGGGTCTTCACCACCGTGGAGAAGGCTGGGGCTCACTTGAAGGGTGGGGCCAAGAGGGTCATCATCTCTGCCCCTGCTGCTGATGCTTCCCTGTTTGTGATGGGCATGAACCATGAGAAGTATGACAACTCCCTCAAGATTGTCAGCAATGCCTCCTGCACCACCAACTGCTTGGCCCCATTCTTGACAACTTTGGCATCATGGAGGGACTCATGATTCATGACTCCATGCCATCACTGCCACCCAGAAGACTGTGATGGACTCCCTAGGAAGCTGTTGCACGATGGCTGAGGGGCTGCCCAGAACATCATCCCTGCTTCTATCGGTGCTGCTAAAGCTGTAGGTAAGGTCATCCTTGAGCTGAATGGGAAGCTCAATGGTATGGCCTTCCGTGTCTCCACCTGCAACGTGTCAGTCGTGGATCTGACCTGCTGCCTGGAGAAAGCTGCTAAATATGATGACATCAAGAAGGTGGTGAAGCAGGCATCAGAGGGCCCCCTCAAGGGCATCCTGGGCTACACTGAGGACCAGGTTGTCTCCTGCGACTTTAACAGTGACACCCACTCTTCCACCTTTGATGCTGGCATTGCTCTCCAAGACCACTTTGTCAAGTTCATTTCCTGGTATGACAATGAATTTGGCTACAGCAACCAGATGGTAGACGTTATGGTCCACACGGCCTCCAAGGAGTAAGAGCCTCCTGGACCATCAGCCCCAGCAAGAGCAAGAGGAAGAGAGAGGCCCTCAGCTGCTAGGGAGTCCTTGCCCCAACTCATCCCCCAATACACTGAGAATCTCCTGACCTCTACACAGTTTCTATCCCAGACCCCATGAAGAAGGGGAGGGACTTGGGGAGTTCTACCTTGTCATGTACCCTCAGCGTACATGCACCATGTACCCAGCCAAAAAAAAAAAAAGTGGTGAATTTAAATAAGATGGGCAGCAGTCTATGGTAAACTCTATTATTCATGAATATTTGCTGCCCTTCCCCTTTCCTGTCCCATTGATGTCTGGCGTGGCCATACCACTAAATCCACCCTATTATGAATTATTGAATTATTCTTCTTTATTAGATTATTGTCATATCCCTTAATAATAGCACACTGCACTAAATCAAACAAAACTTTCTCCAGGTGACTGTCTCTTCTAGCTAATTCTTTGCTCCCCTCTACAGCTAAACTCCTCGAAAGACTTCTCAATTTGCTATACCCCACTCTCTATTCGGTCTACTTCAAATAGGCCTTTGTCCTCATTTTCCCTCTGCAATGGTTAAGATTACCAATGATGTCCATTTTTGTTAAAGCCCAAAGGCTCTGTCTCCATCTTACTTAACCCCCCAACAGCATTTGACAGGCTTGGGCACTCCACCTCTTTCCTACATCATTTTTTTTTTTTCTCTCTAACCTTCCATGGTGCTGCAATTGCCTGGTTTTACTCCTACCTCAATGGCTGCTCCTTCCCACTCTCGTCTGCTGGACCTACTCCTGTATTCAACCTCTGTAGAAAGACTGCTAGTTGTGCACCAACTATCCATTCCCCTGCTCTCCAAAGTAATAGAAAACTGTATTTTTAGGGGCGCCTGGGTGGCTCAGTTGGTTAAGCGGCTGCCTTCGGCTCAGGTCATGATCCCGGGGTCCTGGGATCGAGCCCCGCATCGGGCTCCCTGCTCAGCGGGAAGCCTGCTTCTCCCTCTCCCACTCTCCCTGCTTGTGTTCCCTCTCTTGC